AAATGGCACCAGTTTTTACTTTTAGAGATGGTCTAAAAACCGATGGTGATGTAACAATATGCAAATGACTCACGTGGGCACACGCCGTGGTAGACTGCTGATATTATATATTATGTACAATTTAATCGTAACACTCTATTGTTTAAGTTGTGGTTATTCAGGCGCCTTTGTATCGTCGCCATGTTTAATTATTACGCTGTTTGTTTGCACTGAATTTGTACGCTTAAATAAATAATTACATTACACTATTCCATCTCAAGGGAAATAATTTATATGTACCTTTGATAAATTCATTATTATTCTGATAAATTCTGTTTCGTGACGTAATCTAAAACATTACGTAGACACACGGTAAAAATTATAAAGGTGTACTAAAGAAGAGTACCTATATAACACTATTCAAGCATCAGAAGAGATTTAGGCTGTCAAGGTAAAGATAAGAACGAATTGTTTTCAGAAAAACTAAATAATACTGCTAGAATATTAACAAATAAAGCTTACAAATCTTAGTACGTCATCAAAGAAAATATCAACTTATTTACAGACGATTTAATACCACAAAAACTCGTATTAAAGTCTCTGTTCAAATGATAGATGACTCGATGTTTCTGCTAAAATACATTTGAGAACAATCCGACGCCATTATTCACTTTTCTCTAATACACGCTTTTTCACACCGACGTAGAAAATGAAATATAAGAATAATGGGACTAAAAGAACATAGTCATGATGGATTGGATATGTAAAGGTGGGATCAAGTGCTCCAGAAACTGCTGACCAACGAAACATTTTGGCTCACAAAACACACTTTTTTAGGATCAGTTAATCTTATTGGGTTTCTAGACAAAGGCGTAAATATCACTCTTATCTTAAAATTACAGTTTCAGTCTCCAATCAACTTTGATCGAAGTGTTCAGTGTAATATACAGTGTTGAGAACTCTTCTACAAAATCAAGAAGGATTTCAATCAATTTGAACCAAATCCGTTCCAAAACGGCAACGCGTGAAATTACAAAAACCATTTCTGTACCTGTAAGGCAGAATTTCACGGTTAAAGGTCGCAGTTTTTTCAAGCAAATATTGTTCCCAACACTAATTGAACAAGTACCGCAATATAAAACAAATGGAGCGTACTATTTCCATTAAGAGAAACAGTTTTCAAATTAAATGGATGAAGAAGCACAATTATCACGGCACAAGTTCTGAAGTATTCTAGGTGATTCTAAAGGTCGACGTACTGCAATATATTGCACTTAGCTGCGACTAACATCTGTGGAGGCAATCAGACATTTACATGTCAAAAACTTTTACGAGAAAAACTGTTGAATATTTATTTTACGTAGATTTAAATCCATATTTATGTGCGCACTTCTAAAAGTTTATTTTTATGTCTGCGATTAAAACCACGATCAAAAAGGTTATTCGTTGTAAAAGTACAAGCAGCTCTAGGTGTTCGTAGGATAAAGACCTAGGATTAAATGCAAATTTATTCTATCTCTAGTAACAAATGTTTCGACATCCTCAAACATTTTTTTCATAGAAATTGTACAGAAGCTAGCGTGATGGACGCTACATAAGACATGTTTGAAAAACAAAATAACGTCGAACGTAATACGAGTAATGAACAAAATACATAAAAGAACAACAGCACAAAAAACATGACAGTCCTAAAGACGATGAAACGTTGCGAATATGCGACTTTTACTCACGAGACCCTTTTGAGAAAATAACCGACACTGCTCAAATATTATCATGAGAATAAATAATCAAATCATCTCACGACATCTTTCGAGGTCTCGTTACTTTTCTGCTACGGTAGACATTGAATATTTTACTTCTAAAAATTCGAACCACTTTCTCGGGTACAGGGCGAGGGTTAACGACACATGGCTCCGAGACAATTGTCATACAACGCACGTGTGACCTTCACAGGGACGAGTAGACCCGGTGCCATATCTTAGGGTGCCACAGACGAGGGACTCGGCGTAATGCAGTCCCAATATTTTCAAGATTTCATTATCAATTTTCTTTTGCTTTATTCAGATCTCCCTAACGCCTGTAAATAACTGTTATTCAAAAACGTCCAGATGGAAGAATGTACAACTAATATTGAGCCAAGCAATTTAACAAGCAGAAAGGATCCCGAAAAATGATTACACATTCAGGGTCGAGGGATGAAAGCGAAACTGGCTCTATTGAGCGTGTCTAAATACTGAAAGCCTGTGCAAACAATATTCCAGTTTATGAGGCTTAAAGATTATGTCGGCATATTCAAAATTGACGTAAACAAGCAATTATGCTCCGCACAAACGAGAACATTAGAAAGCTTAGTCATCATCATAAAATCTAGTCTATTATTTGCTCCACAAAAGTGGCAGGAGCAAGGTTCTAATCCTTAATATTCACAGAGGAATGTTATTTCTTTAATTAAAGGCTTTTCGAAATATCGCCGGTCCTTGAATTTCGCTGTCTAGTCCAGAAAATTTAAAGAGTTAGGGACATATTTCAAAGGTCCCTTCATTCTATTAGAGTAATGGGTGTCTTTTTAAAACGGACGTAGTCGAATATTAAGGGGTACATTTTCAACAAGAAGCCTAAGAGCCCTCTACCTAAAGAAAGTGAAGGTCAAGGGCGATTAGTTCAAGGACAACTTTCTAAGAACCACTAAGTGCGCCGGTGCGCGCAACTAAAAGAATTACTGTTGGTTTGGCATGGTTTCAGTTTGCTTGAATGCCTTTTTTATGGAATAGGAGGTAAACGAGCAGACGGATCACCTGATGGTAAGCGATCAGCGCCGCCCTAGGTGCCTGTACCGCAAAAGCTGATTTTGCTAAAAGCAGACTTCATTATAAATTATAGGTTATCACTTTGCAATCAAATTCAATTTAAGGGACACAATTATTGTCACCAGACGTCAGGAAAATACGTCATTATTCTAAGCCAAAGATAATGGAAATGTTTCTGTGGCTAAATATCTAAAAACAACGAAAAACACTGCAGGCTCCTGCGAAATGAGCGAAAACCGCAAGGGAAAACCTTTTGCGTATGACACAACGACGTATAAAGGTCAAATGCGACCCATTAGAACAAATGAAAAATAAAAAAAGGCTGCTAGAAACCGAGACCAGCTATCTTTTGCTTCATACCAATGAGCAAATGACATCGAGTTTAGTCAGCCGTGTAACGTATCAAAAGCTACATGCTAATGGCGTATTTTCTCTTGTATATTTTCACCGCTAGACCGACGACGTGGGAATTCATTACGTTTCGGGAATTTTCCGACACGACGCCGGCGCGGGATCGCTGAAAAAAGTTTGAAAACGTAATATAATTCACGTCGCAATAACTCAGCGGGACGGAGTTAGATTAAACGGAATTAATATCTCTGGAGGCTTACTTAGAGGGATCATTATCCGCTGGTGAAAATAGAACATGATTTATGCAATAGTACTTGTTAAGAAAAACATGTTAACGACAACGGCAGTCAGCCGGCTAGTTTCTTAGATAATAATGAAAGATCAAATTACGTAAAAACCCCATTTAAGAATAATTAAGAGCTAAAAAACAAAATGAATGTGAGGAAGAATGGAAAACGAATCGGGCTTAATTAGGCTGAATAAAAAATACTAAAACACTGGTAATGTAGGTCATCAGAAGGAAAATAGCATAGATAGGAACGAAATTGGAAATGTCGATAAAGGTAGGCATCAGAAAATGAACGATAATAATGATTTGATAACAGCACTTATAGTGAACGATAGGAATACAATGAAGCAAACCGTATATGAAGTGGTTTATGACAAAGACACTACGACAGCTATCTGCAAGTTCCACGTAGATACACGTGTCTCATATTTATAAACAAAACAGAGACATAGACATATACCTACGTAAGTACTATAATTACTCACAAGTTTCTCTCCGTATTCAATTATCGCTTTTACCACCCGTTTAATAGAGTGCAGAGTAGCGTGGTTAATATGCGCATAGTTTGAATAGTGCTAGCGTTATCGCATTATGTAACAGAGTTAGTATGTGCAGTAAATAAACTACGATGAACTTTGAAAGAGAAACATTGGGAGTGTTGTTTCAGCTGATTTGTTTGCAATGCCATACAAAGAATAATAGAGTTGAAAATTGTAAGACATAGATTAGAATTAGTAAGGGATTTTTTCAAATATGATATCACTTATTTTGGACACTATAGGCAACATGCAATTCTACTTAATTATCTTGTTATTAATCGAATAAAATCTACACAAAAGTGTGAAATGCGAGTGCTAAGTACAAGGTGTTTGGCTCCTAAATCCTACAGGCGGTTGCTAGAATGTACTGTAATAATAATTATGGATAAATAACCATGCAGTAATTGCACTATAAGTAGGTACTAGGTAGGTACATTACATAACAGCCTTTGGGGGAATAATACCGTGTAGTAGCTATAAAACTATTATACAAGCATAATTGATTACTATACTTAAAAATTCCCCTGTTTGTTAATACGGACTAGGTACCTAGATACTGATTAAAAAGGACAATTAAGTATTAAGTTTTTTAAAAAGAATTTATTATAAATCGCGTTAATCCCCGTATTGTATAGTATTGAATGTGTAATTCCCCTTTTGAAACGGTATTTTTTTGCCCTGAATTCGATGTACCTCTATCGCATCGGCATTAAAAAAGGAAATATGTAGATGTTCTAAATCTAAACAATTGATAGTAACTTTAGTAATCACAAAAGGCCTTCGAATAAAGAAGTATTGAACCATGTGCAAATGTCAATGTATCGAGACTTCCGGATCGAAGTTCTTGGCTAATGCAAATTAAGGCCTCTTGAATAGCAATGTCATTATAAATTCCTGCAATATGTTTAACTTGATGAAATAGGTTTTGTTGTTAAAGAAACACACTTCTATAAACTCCAATTCCTAAGCAAAACGAGAAAATTTAAAAAAAAATGCATAGAGAGTATGAACACGGTCAGTCGTTGCATCCGCAAATTATCGTGTAGTCTCCATTACTACGTTGTTATCGAAGATGCATCTAAATAGGTTTAACAAAGACGTACGGTTCTTAAACGGATTACTAGATGGGCCGGCAAGACGCTCGGTATCCGATTCAATTGAGGTCAGTTGGCTATTTTCAACGCGCACGAAGGAATATTCTAGTTCACTGTCAAAGATATAAACTTTTCTTAATTTTCCTATTACGACGAGTTGTCTTGGCAACGAAGACTGTCCGCAATTGCTGTCGTAAGCGGTGAGTGCGGAATTACGTATTATGTAAATAGAAGAACAGTGCATACTAAAGACAACAATACAATGTTAAAGTAAATAACTCTCAACTTCAACCATAGTATACATTTATGGCAGTAAATGAATAATAGGTAACACACCTAATGAAATTGCTTACCCAGCGAATAGACACGTAACGGTCTACGTAACCTATTAATTATTATAAACTAACGACTACTTGACTATGAACCTCAATTGACTGAAGAATGTTATTACAAAACTATTTCTATAAACTAAGGGGCCTTAATGCTTTCATAGTAAACATTATTGTATTGGTTCAACTTTAATAATACGTGTGAAAGGCGTTCTTTAATAACAGAGGTACATACGTCGACAAATAAGAATGAACTGTAACAATAATATCATTGTAGTTATGCAGACTGTAGCCAAGACAAAGTATTGGAACCATGTGTGACCCGGTACAACCTCGTACACTTAACAATAGAAGTAAAAAATACACTTCTATTGAAATATGTAGTGGGAAAATAGTAGGAATACCCGGCTTGACCCACATAGGCAAACGCTTGACACCTGATATCGTTGAAAGAAACATATCGATAGAATCTATACGTCTAAGCTAAGCCGGAAATCGATTGTCACGCTATGAGACTATGAGACAAAGGCCTTTACATAATTGTCGTTGAAATGGTAGTCTGAATTCAAATTACGTATTTCGTCCTAGTTGCCAACAACAGACTTGTGAATAACAAAATGAGTCTAGTTAATTTGATAGAAAAGAAAGAGCATAAGTCATTAGACGCTCGTTCCAAAACGTATTGGGGAGAAGTTTATTGCTCATAATCACTGTTGCTACTTGGAGACGTCCCTGTAATTTAAGTCTCGAGTTAACCTCAGCAGAAAATAGATTGATACGAAAACGTATTTACTCAAAACGAAGGTTTCGAAAATATTCCTACGTAAATGAGAATAATTTGTCCCAGGACAAATAAAATTAAGCATACACATGTATGAGTGAATCCGATATTAAAATCGGGGTATTTAAGAGGATTTTGTTCGGTCGCATTCGGCAAAACCGCTGCTCGAATATATATTTTAAGTAGGACTAACATATTCCCCTGTCGCTGCTAAAACCTAAATGTACGCTTCTGAACAGCTCATTACCCATAATGATCGCTCAATTTCGGGTACATTAGCTGTACTTGTTTAGGAATATTAGCTTTATTTTCATGTACGGGTAATAATAATGCGATAGATGGGCTTTTTGATAAATTAGATCAAATTTTGGAACACCATTACCTACTTCACTACTTAAGCAAAATTAAGTAAGGTCTCTGAAAAGGACTGCTAAAAGGTTACATTAACCGAAAATAAAGGAGAGAATTTCAAAGCCGAAATTGGCCGCACTTTGGAGAAAAGTTAAATAAAAGACTATGCTAAAAAAAACACCAATCACAATTGAAAATGAAAAGCTGCTTAAATAATTATTTACAAAATTACTACATAACATGTAAATCACTATACGTGTCATATCACTTCTCACTCATCGACTTTGAAATACGTAATTAAAGTCAATTGCCAGTCATTGACATCAATTCATTGATTACCATGGCACGTTTCCCTTGTAAACAATGCATTTAAGAGCCCCCCCAGCATTAGTTGAAAATACTTGCAATTCCTTCAAAGTTACAGTGGAACTTCATAAGAAACAATCGCAACCCAGTTAAGAATGGTTCAAGAGTCAAGTTGGACAGTTAAAGTTACAAAGCGCAGCACTGGTTTCTTCGCAAACTGTTCACTTTTCGTGCAGGAGTTTGTGCATTTAATATTTGAGTTGTAAATTATGTAGCTGATTTGATGTTAAAGAGTGAAACTTGGTTTTTGGTGCAATTTAGCCCAGAATCGTTTTCCTTTTACCTGTGAATAGACCTGTTTGATTCACGTTCGGTTTAGACGCCCCTTAATGCGAGCTTTCTGGATAATAGGGCATGTAAGTGAAAAAAATGCATAAGTGATGAACTTCAGGTCCATCGCTACTAATTCCCGAATACTTCCTAACTAGTTTAAGCTCGTTGAACTCGAGATGAGCCGCAGTGCGGGTGCCGCATCGATCGCCAGGCCTATCCCGAGCTATCCCGGAAACCACCGCGCCATTCAACCTGGCTGGGATCCGAACATGATCCTTCACGAAATGTTCTGAGAATCCACAGGAAATTAAGCATTACAACTCCTAATATTACTTCAAACAACAAACGAGGTTTGAAGTAGTTAGGTACTTCGTGACTTGAATCTTGTCAACTTCTGATCTCATTTCGTAGTAATTTAAGAACGAAAACAGTTTTACAAAACCTGTGCAAACATTAGTTGTGATTACGTTTTCAAGCCTAGTGTGCTGTAGTTAAATGTTCGCTTTGTCACAATAAGTACACATGCTTCACTGACGTGTTAACAGATAGGTGGGCCGTGAGCGTAATTGCGTTCACGTTTACCCAAAAACCGCAGGACATCGAGTTAGAACGTGATCAGCAAATATGAATGTTTTGTCGAATTCTCCATTCGTTTTCTACTATCTTAGGAATGTCTTCTAAACTAATTCAGTTACTATTCTGTAATAAAATGATGTATTGTGCCACTTATAAAAATGAAACTATGTTATTTAACACATTGACTTGAAAACGAACACCAAAGAAACTAAAGAAGATCAACAACACTTCAGACTGGAACAATAAAAGCTGTAGTAACACATCTACCCTGTCGCGAAACAAATGTTAAATATGCAAAGAGTAATCCAACTTCAGCGTAACGGAACAAACGTCATTCCATTCCTCTTTCATAGCACTCGTTCCCATTGGGATATTTGTCGCAACTTTACTGGCGGATCATAAAATAAATCAGGCTTGTTGTCGCCAGCGATACGTTGATTTACGCCCGATAGTAACTCCAGAAGTCTCGAAAGGATTTCCACCGGATTAGGTGCTGACCTAATCCTCAAGTTTCACAAGTGAATTTTGTTGAATTCCTTTTTGAAGGAAAGCAATGTTTATTACATGTTTGTGTCAAAAGTATGTTTACGGGATCTCTTTTGACAATTTGTGAACTTGTATTCGATAGCAAGACTTCATTCCATTTTTACTTCTAAAATAAATAATGGCCATTTTCCACGTTTTAAAAAGCTGAAGACTTTGCAACCAATTACGCAGTTAGTTGTGTTTAACAATCATTCTGTGGAAATGCTAATTAGGAGCACAACAATAGACTTAAGTGTATACCTACTTCTAATTTAAGAACTACCACAATTGTGTAAGTCCGATATATTTTCTTAAAACAAAATGTACTATGGGGCTGTCGTCAAGTGCCGTTAATTCTTGTTTCGTCCCACGTTTTTATCTAAACTAGTTTCTATTTGAATCTGTTATGTTTTGTTTTGAATTCTGGTGGGTTTTAGCAATTTCGCGACGGTACCGGGTACACATACCGGGACGGGCAATGGCCTTCATTATTAGTAAACAGTATCACATTAAGTCACACCACACGTGATCCGCTCCGCATAATAAGACGAAACACAAACACGATCATTGTTTCACGAGTTGCAAGTTGCAATCGCATTCAATGACACTAAAATTACAACATACAAGATAAAGACTGTAAGTAATCTACCAAGAATAACTGTAAGAAGGAGACGTTTCGATTATTCATTGTACACAATTATCATCGAGATTTGCAAATTCCCACAGAGAACGTATAATATCTACAATTTTAACAGCTGTAGTACTTGCACGCGAACTGTGTGCGATTCTAATATGAGATCTATGGGAATAATAAGAATAGTCTTTCTACTTTGCAGATGTTGTACGAAAATGTCTGGCGTTTTTCGGACAGATGAAGGCAATTTGTACCGCAATACTTAGGTAGTAACACTTACTAGAATTGCTAAACTTTCTGTTAGACACTCTGAAGAATCGATAAAGGTTACGAAGAAAGTAGACTAAAGCCCTTGGGACGTAAATTCGATACAAGATCGAAAAGGTTCGTACGAGATAGATTGAGCTGCGATTCACTTTCGTGCATTGATCTTTCTAAGCCCAACTAAAATATTTTACGATCCAGTAAAAGTTGGAAACTTTACCAAAGTTTAATAGGATTTTCATCGGATTTATTCCTAAACATAAAACTGTATTTTTCTAGCTTGCAAAAGATTAACTTTATCGCATATTCGTAGAGTGTACTATCACCTAATCATGTTTAGGTAATCCTTTGACATTAATTATAATTGATTAAGATTAACCTAGAATTACCGAATTATAAATTCGTTGAGACGCTTCGATAGCGACGGTACGTTAATGGCGTTAATTAAATATTTTAGTAAATTGAAGAGGTAAAATATCAATAAATCTACGTGGAGTAGAATACAGATGCTGGTAATAAATAATGAATAATAAATCAATTTGATTCGTTGATCGTGTGATATTAAATATCGTTTTCCTAACATTCGCACAGTTTTCTCTCCCACAGCGTTTATAATGGACAATACTGGTACAATACAATCAATTTACTATAATATTAATATTTTGTTTTAAGTAAAACTACACTTGATTCTGATGACATAAGAACTAGGCACCTAATTACCTAACAAACTAGATTAATCAATAAAATATCAGTTTTGCTGATATTTTGCGAGTCGATTCATGTAAGTATCTAAAGATATGATATCAATGAATCAATCAATTTTTACTTCCTATATCATGACCTTACACGATTAGCACCATATTATGTCGTGAGTCCTCGGACCTCGCCAACGACATTGCTATCGCATGTTTGCCAAGAAATTACATGTGGTAATGACACTTGATGATAAATCACAAGCCCTATTGATTCTTTGCGAATTTATAAATACTAAAAATCTGTATTTAGTTATCAGTTGAAATCTTACAAAGTCATCTTAGGCTTAAGTAATAAGCGTTTAAGAAGGTGTAATTAGTGGTCAAAATTTAGTTTAACTAGAAATCTAATCGCGATATTACTTTTTCAGGAGTGGAAATATTAACAGGCTCGATTGAACTAGTAACTAGCTGGTCGAATCTGGGAAGACAGAAAGATATTGCTGAGGATGATAAGAAGAGTTCTGCGCAAACCTCCATGGACAAACACCCACCATGTCTTCAGAATTAAAAGGAGAATGTCGCCTTTGCGACCGAGCTAAACATAACACATTTCCGAGAATGCTTTCACGGAACGTAACCTAATTTGACAGTAATGTAAACAATGTTAACATCACGTGACACTTTATGTAGTGCTGAAGAATAAAACGATGCGTAAATACACGTCACACCGTCGCACGCGTAAATCGGAACACGTCACGTCGTCCAACGACCGGCGGGTTCCCAGACTGTTCGAAATCAGAAATAAAATTAATAGTCTGTTGGATGAGGGAATCTAAATGCTCGCCAAATGCGCAATTGCAGATGATAACCGCCAAAAATTTGCGCCACGTTCTAAAATTGGTTTCCTGTAAACATTTGGTTGAAACTGCTATTTACACTGTAAATAATTTTATTAATGATGTGAGGATTATTTTGTACTGAAATTAATGAACACTGCGATTTTGGAACACATCCCAGAGTGTTCTTGACCTTAGACCCTTAAAAAAGTGCTGTAGGCATGTTACTCATGTTAGTTCATTTATCAATGGATGAGACATCTTTATCTACCTTTTTTTCTTATAAGATAAAGAGCCAGTATGCCAGCCAGTATTAGAAGAAATTAGAAGCACTAAAATATTTTTGGAAAGCATAGAGTATATATTAAAACTTATTCTTTTATTTTGTTTGTTAAAAAAATATTCTAAAAATGACATTAGTAACTTGTTAATTTATCAGATCTATTCCAATACACTTTACTTAATTGCCAACTTGATTACATTGTAAAACAAATGTAGATGGTTGCTAGGGAGTGATTATGTTGTAGATTTACTACTACAATGCACACACAAATGATAATGTATTGTAACTAATGTAGGTACAATACTAATGTATCTGTAGGTACAGCCAATCAAATAACATTACATTTTACAAACAGGGCAGAAGATAAACTATAAATAAATGGACAACCAATGAATCATGGATCATGTAACTTAAATAGCTTGAACAATATTGTAATAATTTTAATTATTATTTTATAGAATTTTGTGTGCCGATATTAATTATCATTCTTTGGGTATTTTATTCCCGTTATTTCGGATAGATGAAATTCAATTAAAAAATAGAATCGTTTCACAAAATTTATAATATTATAACATAGTTTTTTCAAATCAACTATGAAAATATATTATAATAAAATCTAATAACTATACACCATTTTGTTATGTTAAAAAAAAATACAATTCTATCTACAAGTCTAAACCAAATTTTTTTACTATCTTTTTTATGTTTTTTTTTAAAAACTTAGGTAATTTTATAAGAAAATTACATTGGCTATTCTAATTATTTTCAAAAGCAGAAATTAAGATGTGTAAAAAGATTCCAGTCAGCTGTTTGACCTACCTCCACTCAGACCCAAGGACATTGGGCTGCAACTTTCTAATATCTAATTTTTGAGAGGTAGCTCTAAACAAGGACCCATTCACATCTGCCTAGTCAACATATTGAATATAAACCATTTTTTAAACTTAATAGTTTATGGTTATCTTAAACTTTTCATTTAGAAACCGAAAGTTATTGATAATACAATTAAACTTTCTAATACTTACTTGAACTTAGTGGTTCTTAGTTTAGCAACAACTTTATCTTGTATTTTTCTAAGAATATCGTCAACATCTAAGATAACTAATATTCATGCATGGCTAGTTTCACGTTTACATACTGGACCAAAATAATAAAGATACATTTAGAACACTTACCAAAATACTTTACTCGACTGGTCGATGCTAGAAAACAGCTCGGATCATCGCAATACTCGCGTAAAATCACTTAAAAATACACGAAAATAAATGAAAGTCGATAAATAGTGGAAACAACAAAAGAGGGTAAAATGTTAGGCACTTGGTTTCGTTTTTAATCGCTCAATCAAGAGGTAGCGAACGACTTTTAACTCTTTGACTTTTAAATCTTTTTAAAATCTTGCTAATTTTATTGATAATTAACGATTTTGAAGCAGTATTGACTAAATTCAACAACCTAAAATTCGCAAAATTGATCTAAAAACCTCGACGAGCGATTCTGTAGAGTGGAATGGAAATGAAATAAATAAAGAGAACGGACACCAAAAAGTAAATGTGAGTGAGAGTGGCTCGATTACTAACTCGATCTCGCTCTTTGTATTCGATTCTTTTCTTGCGTGTCAATGTCAACTTTGAGATTTTACCACTCGCCTAACCAAATTAAAAGTTTCAACTTTTATTATTTGTAATTACTAACAGTACATATTTGGAACAAAAACATGTTAATTAATATAACGAATTCAAACAACATTATTTAAGCTTTAAGATTTTTCTTAATCTTTCACATAACTTTGTCTATGCAACTATCGAGAATATTTTCTGAAGCAACGCTTCTTTCTACGCAATGATGCAGGCATTTACAATATGAATGACAGTGACAGCTGGCTGACACATTTGAAATTTGTTTTTGTAACTGAAATCGTTTAACGCTGTTGGAAGTTTATTTTCAATTATTTGTGGATTTGAATTTTGAAAGTTTTTTTGAGTATATAAATATAACCCTTTCTGTCCCATCATGACAAATAGTACTTTAGAAAGTCCTTCTTTATTTTTAGTTGAAGAAAGAATAAAAACATTTAAGAACTGGCCGTTTAGTGACAAAAATAAATGCAATGTGCGAAACATGGCTGAAGCTGGTTTTTATTCAGTAGCGACGGGTGCTGATGATGCTGATGCTGCCAAATGCTTTCTATGTGGAAAAGAGTTGGATGGTTGGGAAGCTAGTGATGACCCTTGGGCGGAGCACAAGAGCCATGCTATGAAATGTGCCTTCGTTCAGCTGGGAAAAAAAGAAGATGAACTGCTTGTGAGTTTATCATAGTTTTGGCTTTAGAAAGTGTAGTCTCATCACACAAAGGTCTTGATTTATTTTAGAAATATACTTATGTGGGTGTTTCAAGTGGTTTTAATTACTGCTAATGCTACAGAACAAACAGTATTGTTGTTCCTTTTGTCTCACACTTGAAATTATGGTCAGTGAGTATTCTTAGGTGAAGATAGTAATATATTTTACTTTATTTCAGCTCTCAGAGTTCCTGTCAGTCATCAAACAGTACATGATTAATGAAACAAAGCGCATTGCGGAGCTGGCCAAAGAAAGAGTTGATGAAAAGGCAAAGGCTGTGCGCAGAAGATGCCTAGGAAGGAAATGAAATATGTAATTACATTATGTACTCCTTGATATAAATTTTGGCCAGTGTGAATACTAGCGGCCTGTATAGGTACTAGGTATATTGCTGATAATGATGATTTAGGATTAATTGATACTAAATGTACTGACTGAATGTGAATGTATTAATTAAATGATTGTTGTGGTATATATTTTGTTTTACTTTAAATAAACATTCCTAGATGAGAAGACTTCCAGTCTGGTTAACAAATTCTTAATTTACTTTGGGTATCTAAATAACAATGGTAAAAACAAACTAATCCATAGACAATGGTAAAAACATGCCATCTCTTTATTATCACCTTCATACTCATCAGTAACTATGGCAACAAACTGTTTACAGGTTGCCTAACAACCGTCAAAGCAAACATCAAGTCTTCTAAACTGACAATATATTTTATCTTTTAATATTTCCTATTTTATTATACAAATATTAGTAAATATATTGTACAATAACATAAAAGACTGATATATAAAATGGGTGATGTAAAGAATTTGGAGTCTTACGCTATCATTGGGTTTGATGGTAAGTAATAATTTTTTAAATCTTTGTTAACTTTGTGCTAAGTTTTGATGGTCAATAAAGTAAGAGATAAGAAACGGGTTGCGGCTGCACGATCCTTCATTCATAAGCTCAACAGGTCCTGATCTGTAGATCAGGGTCTACACTGTACTGTTTACCTATCATTAGACTTTCTCGTGCTCTGGAAACTTTAAAATTTTACCACCAATACAGTGATAATATGTCTCGGCGCTCGATTTCTGAATTACCGCAGCCTATTTCTTGATACATTTATAAATACCACCAATAGACAAATGAGGCAAGTACCTATATAGGTACCTAATTTTTTAAAACCTTTCTAAAACCAACACAGGCTCGGCTATACGTGGGCTCAAGGTTCACCCTGACAGTGAACACATAGTGTACCCAATGGGCAACAAGGTCTGCATCCAGGAGTGGAAGACGAAGAAGATGTACTTCCTCAGTGGACATAGCAACAGTGTATCAACTGTCGCGATATCTCCCAGGGGCACTTACGTGGGTTCGGGGCAAATAAACCACATTGGGTTTAAAGCTTCTGCTAAAGTCTGGGATTTTAAAAAGAAGATACAAGTTGGAAGTCATGAGCTGCATAAGGTATGTGATACTATACTTTTTAGAGGGGGGAAAATAAATTATCCAGTGACTTCTCCTGCCTTGATTTAGGCGAGAGGGAGTGTCAGACTCTCTACTGACTAAAAACCCCCCAGTTCCTACTCCTGCTCTACGAACCGGAACCCCGGCAACTCGTTAGGCATCTATTGTATATACCTACTTTTTACTTACTCGTCTGTTCTTGGACGATGAGAAGATTTGGCAAATGGTGAGACAATATAATAGGGTCCTATGATAACAACAGACAATGCACGGGTCACGAGTCCGATCGCGGTGCAGCTATTTGTGTGATCTAAAATAAAACTCGAGGGAGATATGGAGACTCGGGGCATTTTCTGCTGTTCCCTTACCTAGTGTGGGACACTATACAAAGCTTATATAAGGATAAAGCAGGTATCTTAAGATTACTAACATTTTATATTTACCTCCCCAGGTCCGCGTGGAATCATTAACATTTTCATCAGACGAGCGCTACATGATATCGCTAGGCGGTCGTGATGACGGGTGCGTGGTATTATGGGACTGTTTCGCAGAGTCTGCAACAGGAACAGCAGCAGCAACTAGGCTGACCACAGGAGACGCTGTGACGCTGACTGCCCTCAATTTGAGGGTCAACTCCTTTGTAACGGGTGGCGATTGTAAGTGTAAACCATTTAGATGCCTTTTTTCTGTTTCTGAGACGTCTCACTATACCTCCCTTTTATCTATATATCGCCCAAATGCTCTCTTGTATAAACCTCCTTAGCATCTGACACTAGTAATAGTTGCAATACTATCATTGCAGTATGAGAAGCGATCTTATCTGACACACTGGCTTACTCAGACACATTCTCTGAAAATCTTATCGATCCCAAAATCCTAATATTCAGACTGGAAATCGAACCAATTGCTCAACAAGGAGTTCGACTTACTCCTAGAATCCAACCACATTACTCATTGTTAGAGACTATAGACTCAACTAATGGGGTAATATAATTTTCTCACGAAATTACCATATTGTCTTCACTATTTTAATTGAATAATATTCTATAGCAAATCTGAGAGTATGGAACATTCGAGCTGAGAGCAAGAATCTGGACGTGATAGATGTAGCGCTCGGCAAACTCCGGCGCAGTGTGCGCTGCATCGCCATTAATAAAGACGATACTTATGGATATGCTGGGACCACGTACGTACGACCTGAATCTTGACCACATTAATTTATAAAGGTTTTTGGACTACGAGCGAATGAGCATAAATATAGATCACCTATCAATCAGTAGCGCTAGGTCACCAGGTAGGTAGGTCAGCTATGTATCAGATGATCAGATAAGCAATCAGTGCCACTTATGAGCATAGGCAACACCAGAGGCCTAACTAAATGTATTAGGGTTGCAGGAAGGGTTGAGCGAAACAACGTAAGTTTATCAATGCTCTACTCATTTCTCCAACTTGCCATTGTCTTGGAATATGATGGCTTTCTATCTATACTTACCTGTTTCTTTTTCATCTAGAACTGGCGATATGATAAAGTTTTCTATAAACTACCCTTCTGACCCTACGGCTTCGGTTAACATGTGCAAGCCGGCACTGATTGGCTGCCTCGCCAAATGTGGACCGTGGAAGAAGGGTAGGAGACCTGAATCTCTCTGCTACAGTCAAGGTAGGATATTTACTATTCTATAAATACCTACATATTTTTAAACGTCGGTATACCTTATTCCTTTTTACAAAAAAATGTCTATCTATGTATTTATATTGTATTCAGGAATAGAATCAATCCTTATAATGGACGACGGGTGCCTCATCGTGGGCGGTGGAGACGGTACCATCGATGTCCTGGACGAGATCAACTGGAAGGGATCCTTCCCGAAAGGCAAGATACTAGACCCCAACAAGCCACATTTTAAAGCAGTAAGTAATAATAATGACACGTTGTAATTAAACCCCTTTTAGGGTATTGAAGATATCATATCTGCTTTTATCTATAAAAACCCCTAAACTAGAAACTGTTTTTAAAAATAGGCTTGAACAACCATCTCTCATCATTTTCACATCAGGTAGGTGATAAAGGGGACCTCTATCAAGAAATACACTAACCAGAGCTTTTTTCTTTTAAACTTAAGTTCAAGGATCAATAGACCCTTCCTTGAAATACTTATTTCAATACCTACCTTTATTTTACAGTTAAAAACAACAAAACTGGAAGGCAGTATAACTTCGTTGGAATTGATGGAGTCCCCCGACTTGCGTGGCAACAAGCGGCTCCTACTAGCTGGTACTAGGAGCAGTGAGATATACGCCATCAATGTGGCCACCTTCAACCCCATCCTCGTAGTCACGTGCCATCGATGTGCTATCAATGATATTGCTTTTCCTCAGTAAGTATTAGGGGTTTTTAATAATGTTTACCGGACGATAAGTAATCGCCGCCGCTTATCACTCATGGCAACATCAGGGTACTCTTGAAACCAATCCCAATGTCGATTCAATTTCAATCCAATTAAACCTCAATAATTATACAATCTCAAAACTATACAACCCCTATCGTACCTGTTAAAATAGCATTCAGAGTACAGAATATAAAGCCAAACTCAATACCACTTAGTTCATTCAATATCCACGCAATACGGATGCAATGGGCGCTAGTGTGGCAACTCAAGAGTACGAAATTTCACAGTATCAGCCCCCAGAACAATTACAAATGCGTTGCCGACCTTTTGGGATTGGAGATAAAATATTGGGCCTCCATTTAGGGTATCTAATGGCCATTTTAATCATGTACCACTGAGCCCTGAACCATCTCTTGACCCCTCTCATTCTAAGACGTTTCTCTCTTCAGCGGTATGTCCGGAGTATTCGCCACTGCGGGTTCTGGTGACGTGCGAGTGTGGTGCCTGGAGACATGTCAGGAGCTGCTCCGTATCGTGGTGCCTAACTTCACGTGCTCTGCTGTACTATTCTCTGGAGATGGAAAGTCTATTGTGTCAGGTAACTACTTAAAACCTTACAAAATAGTTTGTAAAGTGAAAGTTTTTACTGTACTTTTGATACGTCAAAATATAATTGTTTGTTGGTCTACCAGTTGAAAGTTAGTTTGAAAAAAATAGACGAAGAAACACCATCCGTTACTAAAAATATGTAATTTTTTAAAACAATCTGCAGAAAATCTGGTTATATTAAAATGTACCTAGTAGTTGGTGGCATCAAATAAGTAATAGCATCAATAAGAACTCTAAAACTTCTCTCTACTTACCAACGCATTGATTCAATTCATCCCATACAATAACATTTTATTCAGCTTGGAACGACGGCAATATCCGTGCGTTCACGCCTCTCACGGGCCGTCTGATATACGCCATCTTCAACACACACAACAAGGGCACCTCCGCTCTCGACATGACAGATGACGGCAGGACTCTCATCTCTGGAGGATGCGAGGGACAGGTAACTGAGTGTTCATAATATCATCATTAGCTTGAATATGAATACGTCAACTGCTGAACAAATCGCAGAAAGCCCTTCGTCTTTATGAAAGAGTGATTATTGTATATTTAGCACTACTACCTACAAAAAGTACTGAATGGATTTTAATGTAATTTTGCATAAGTACCGATTGCTACCAATATCGAAGCTAGAATTAAATCGAATCATGTCTAAAAGTATCTTACCCACTTGTCCAGGTTCGAGTATGGGATATAAGACCGGAGCAACAAACCCTCAAGAAGGTCCTCAAGGAGCACAAGAGCCCTGTGTCGGCCATACAGGTGTCGCCCAATAATAAGGAAGCGGTCAGTGCCGGGACTGACGGCTCCTGTATCATATGGGATCTCATGTAAGTTGAATTAAGTTCCCCTTCAAGTGCATTTTTTAGCTTTGCTAGTTTTTTTGTTTTTGAGATGAGGTTCAAACGAGCAGACCTATTATCTAATGGTATGCAAAGCGCCCATGAACATCCGCAACGCCAAAAGAGTTAGGTATAATTACATTATTATGTTACCGGCCTATCGAGGGTGGGGCTAGGATAGACCCTTCTGTAACTTTCAGTGCAAGCGTAGTTTCACGGTTTCTCTTGAGGCGTGAGCATGCCTTGTGACGAGTTGAGACGGCCGATTTGTGCCAAAACATGGTTGTCTCCCAAGAAAATAATTTAGTTCATATTAAACTTTGTCTTCCAGTTCGCTATCCCGTCGTCAAGTGATGTACGCGAATACACTGTTCATGTGTGTGTGCTTCGAGCCGCAGGGCTGCCAGCTACTCACCGGCGGATCCGACCGGAGGGTCGCATACTGGGAGACTGGCAGTGGCAACCTTGCTAGAGAGGTATTAAGAAAATATTTAGCTGTAGGCACATTGGACATAGCTTGACAGTGTGTCTAAAAGACATCTCGAAGGTCCTAATAGAGCTAGTAACTCTTACCTGGTTAACTGGTATCTTTTTATACATAAAAATACGTTTATTAAGGGAAATTAATTTTATAATCATTTCAGTTAGAAGCTAGCAAAATTGGCGCTGTGAATGGACTTCATATCACTCGGAACGGTGATCTGTTCGTTACGGGAGGCAATGATCAAATGGTTAAGGTGAGTACAAAACCTGTAGAATCAATTTCAATGAAAGCAAAGCTTAGACATTTACCTGAATCTGAAAGAACCTGGGAAGGAAGGGTTAGCACTTCGAACACAATAATCCCTAGTTACATAAAGTAAACCATAGTGTCCTATCTAATTGGGTAGTTTAAGAAAATTAAAAATCTAATTAGTCCGTCAGTACAATACTTAGATAAAATGGAGTTAAGTTAAGGAGTGGGAGATTGTTACGTTCAACATGCTACATTTTGTAGCACGCTGTGATGTCACACGACATTTCAAATCAATATATCGTCAAAAGCATTTAATTTTGTAAGAAAATAAAAAATACGTGGCTAATGTTTTAAAATAAACTACCAGACGGACATTTAAATAAAATTTAGGAAACTAGCCTACTGAAATAAACATTATATTTTTCCATATTTAGCTATGGAAGTACCAGGAAGGCATATATACGCACATGGGTTTGGGTCACGCGGGCGCGGTGACGTGTTGCCGCTTCAGTCCCGACGCGCGCTACATCGTCAGCAGCTGCGCCGCCGGGAGCATCATTGTGTGGAAAGTGCCTGAGGTAGGTACTAGGAGAACATGACACTGAAAGCGTTAGTTCATATTATATACTTTACTTACCTGCCTTTTATTGCTTGAACACATCTTCAGTGTTGATGTAAATTGTAATTTAACACTCACTAAGTATGTCGTGTGCGTGTGTGTCGTAATTTAACACTCGCTGTGCTACTGGTGCTCGGTAAAACTAAATAATTATCTATTTAACCCTTTTGGTACTTTACTAAAAACGCCGCATACCTGAGATTCCAGTTAAAAATGCTGATCTTTAGTCTTGAATTAAGAGGTGCCTTGTGAGGTACATTGACATGAATCTATGTTAAAATAAACGTGTTTTTTAGCAATACATCCGCAAAGACGCCCCACCGCCTCCCAAGACCCCACAAACAGCGGAAACATCAGCGAAGACCTTACAAGAAGAGCTCCGCCTCCCTCTGGCGGAGAAAGCCCTACAGAAGGCTGCCGGAGACCGACCCTATGTTCCATCTGCACCTAACAAGGTAAGCTTATCCAGTTAAAGGACTGTGTACAACACAGGTGCACATTTTCAACCTTATTAGGTAAGTACAAGACTATAAAATGGAAAGTCGAATAAAGCAAGGTGAATTGCCAGAAAAAGGCCGGCAACGCAGCAGTGACTCCTTTGGTGTTGTAGGGTTTTTTTATGGCATTGCTGGCGCTGCTGGTTTGCGTCCCATTACATAAAAAACGATTTTAGAAACTGCACAGTGCAAACTAAATGTGTGCTGCTGTTTGAGGAAATCAAAAAACAAAATGCACTTCCTTTCAAGATTGGGGATCAAACCTGAGCTTGCACATTGTGCCCACAAGAGCCACGTCCGGGAGATATCTTGATGTACTTTAGTATTCACAAAGGTAGTAACGCGAACGTATTCCCTTAGACGGAGAAGATAGAAGCGATGGACACGACGCGCGGCAGCGTGCACTCGACGTGCTGTGCGTGCGACTCGGCGCGCACCAACAACACCAAGACCTCAGACAAACCTAAACCCACACCTACAGGACTTAAGTGCTGTAGACCACCAGGTAACAATAATTAATTTTTTTTCAACTTTGCCCCACATTAATTCTGTTTCGTGGGTACAATCATACAAGTTCATGACACCCAGACCCGAAACAGCAATTTGTAGATCACACAAAAAGTTGGTCTGTATGGCAATCGAACCCGCTACACGTTGCGCGGCAGCCGGTTGCCCAGTCACCTATTATAGTAGAGATACACGGAGAGGGGAATAAAAAATATTCCCAAATATGCATTTGCCTAAATATAATTAATAGGTAGCTTCGACCGTCCGTGTTTGAACTATACTTTAAGATCAAATGAAAATTTAATGAAAATCTGTTTAGTAGTTTTTGAGTTTATCGCCAACAAGTTTATCGCAATAATTTAATGGTGAGCTTAAATGCTTCGCCACGGCCTCACAGAAAACCGACATGGAACAACGTCGCTTGCGTTGTTTCGTGAGGTTTACAGGAGGCCTAATTACCCCCCCCCCCTCCCTTCCCCAAATCCTGAATCCTAAACCAACAATCCTCAAATGCTTGATCCCCAAAACGCCGGTAACGTACTTGTAACGCTTCTGGTGTTCCAGGTGTCCATGGGTGACACCAATTGCTTAAAAAATCGCCACCCGGCGAGATAGTGGCCAAACGTCGGCCCATCAAATGTAAAAAACAAAACAAACAGCGCTATTCAATAATAAATCAAAACGAGATAGTTTTCTTTTCCGCTTTGGATGAGGCGAGCTGATCACAACAGAGATCTAAACTCTCTGAACTCTCTACCTACACAGTTATGCTAAGGCCTTGATATGCAAGACCACTTCCTTAAACCAATGTTTTGTCCTCAGATAACTTACCGACGCGGACGACAAGTAAAGAATACGTGTGCGGCAGTGGCGATAAGAAATAAATACAGTTCAATTTAGTATTGTGACTAAGTATCTGATTTATTCACCTACCGAATTATTTATTCATTGTAGTCTTTTATAATTAAACGTGTTTTGGTGAACCTTATTATATTTTCTGCTCCTTCAAACCCTCAAAGAAACAAATAAATATATGTATATGTATTTAGCTATACAGCTACCATCTTGTTGGGTTATAAATGTCAATAACAAAATGATCCTTAATGATGATGATCCTAAATTATCTTTATATATATAAATAATTCTTCTGTCAGTGTGTATGTCACTGAACTTCTCTCAAACAACTGGACCGATTTTGATGCGTGCAAGTTTTGTGTGTGTTCAAGGGGATCTGGGAATGGTTTAGAATAGATTCACAAATCAACCCGGTAGATGGCGCTATTGGTCTTTCCTTTCATACTTTTTTAATACCCTAATCGCTTGAAATGTCATATGCAGGACAACGTCTGTCAGGTCCGCTAGTATTGTTAAGTTCACAATTTATTGAGTTTGTTTATGGGTTGTTACCAGAAAAAACAACAGATGAGTACATTACAAAGTTGTTACTCATTTAATTCATATACATACACTTAAAACTAGTATGATACAATATCACATTTAAAAATGCACATACATTAGCAGACACAGAGCTCATCTTACATTAAGCCTTGTGGAATGCAATCAAACATCTGCCTGCAGTATGATTCATACAGAACTGGCCTTCAGCTTTTATTTATTTTGCTTTAACCCATAGAATCCCAAGCGGTCACCGGTGACCGCTCTCCACTACCTATATTATAGACCTTATTTCGAATGCTTAAAGACTACTTTTGTATGAACAAATTTAGGGGATGAATTTCAACGGGTTAAGCTAATTCAGTCTCCTCATGTCTATGTTGTGGTGAAAGCTATTTCAGTGTATAAAGGTAGCAAATGAATAATATGCAAGGCAAACTAGACTTGGCTTCGATTGAGATTTATTAAGATTTACTATGGTTTTTAAAATCTTAAAACATGTAGATTAAGTTATGGTCATCAATCATGATGACACATTGACAATTATTTTTTTCATCTGAAAGATTTCACAGAGACAATAATAGAAATGATATTTACACTGAATTATAACTGCAGAATAAAATATGTCTTAGTAGAAGAGTTGTAGTGACTAGAACTAAAACAATTTTACATAAATACCTACACTTTATAAACACAACTCCATTATTCTTAAACATGATCAGTAAACAATGTTTATGAGAATGCACCAAAACAGAAAATTGATATAGTTGTTTCACTAAACACATTACTTAAATTTAGTTGTAGTTATTAGCCAACAAATAAAAGATTGCTGTAATCAATCACATGTTACTTTTGATATGAAACAATGACAACAGCAATAATAGTCAAAAGAGCTCGGAAGTTTACCAAAGAAAAACCTCAAAACTGCATTTACTACACTTTTTGATGAACAACCACACAATAAACAATAAAAACAGCCAGTTAGAAACCTTAAATGATTAAATATAAAATCAACACCTTATTTTTAGAATAGTCTCATTGTGCCACAGAACTCTGAACTCTAAGGACACTCAGCCCCAAGCTTGACTCTTACAGTAATGCAACACCAGTTTACCATCAGTACCAAAACACTCATATAAGTTCTTCACTAATTGGTCCGGAGATGGAGCAAACGTCTGGTTCACATAGAGAAACTGAAAGAAAACGATGGATATATAGTATGCATGCTTATTCAAAGAGGATTTTACAACAACTATTGCTGCTTTGGAACAGACTGAAAGAGAATATTTTTATGGGATATCAATCAATCTGTTGGCAAACAGATTTCAGAGCAACCCTTGGACCCACAACTTTAGGTAATTACAAATCTAATTAACAAATATGTACTATGTGGATATACTCCCTGTAGGGATATAGACAGTGTCTAATAGCCCTCTAAATAGTTAGGCACTCACCAATTTCTCATTAGGTTCTAATTTAAGATATTTCTTCACAAACTCCATGATCCAACCAATTGGTTTCTCTGCATCAACAGCCCATTTCTTTTTCTTCATAATGGGTGCATTTCCTGTGGCTTTCAACAAAATGTCAACTGTAACATGAAAACAATAATAGTTGTTTGATTATAAAAGATGTAGGAGGTACTAACAAATTATTTAACTTGCTGACACCAGCCTGTGACCTGTAGTCTTCATACTTATCATAAATGACACAGTGGGTACAAAGTCAACTCCAGGACAAAGTTAATTAGCCAAATGGACACAAAATTATACTTAACTAATGAGAATTAACAACAATCTCATTATACAAAAGGTTAGAACAAAGAGTTCTTTTATATTACACAATATAACTAGATGCACTGTCTATCTATGAAATATGCAGTGTTTGTATTTTTTCCCAATTAACATTTTATTGTATCAATCGACTTACTTTTAATTTTGTTGTCTCCTTTCGAAGAGTCTCCATTATCTTTTTGCTCACTCTCAATTTTTAAACTCTCAGTCGCTTGAGATAGGTCTGATTGAACATCGTTGGCTTGCTTGTCATCACCCATTATTGAAACAATTCACAATACCCTTCACACTATTGCAAATCTAAAATTTTTAAGACTTTCTCAACAAATCAACAAAGATTTCATGTTTCTTTTTTCTGTCAGACAGAGTCAGACTGTCACTACTGTCAGTCACTGTCAGTCAGTCACACCAAAAATGTCTATGAAAACGTCACATCACTGTGATATTTTCAAGTTAAGACTCTCGATATCGTATCGATTGAAATGGAATTATTCGAAGCATAGACAAACATAAAAAATACAGCCGAAGGAGGACCTCCTCCTTTTTTTGAAGTCAGTTCAAAAACGAAACGTCATCGTGTAGCGCGAAAATGTAATCTCTGTGGTTCGAAAAAAGAAAGTCAAGATGGCAGATGGCGGGAAAAAGTCAAGATAATGCTAATAATATTTGACGTTGATGAGGGAATTTTAATGTATTTGAAAGTCCGTGTTGTTGTTGTTTTTCTTGCCAATTAATAGTTATGGTTTAGCTAGTCCAGCAGCTGTAGCCAAATGCCATTTAGCGCTTGTCTACATGTAGAATAGAAAACCAAATTATATAGAATTGACGTGAATTTTGACACTTGTCAGTGTCATCGCCCATACATTTTGATTTCTACTCTCTCTGTAGACAAGCGCTAAAGTGGCGTTTGGCTAAAGGCACTGATTTTGTAATTTCATTTCGATGTTAACATTGTCAACAATATAAGACGTGCGTTGTAATAGTGGTACTCTTTAATTTCGCTGCTTTCTGAGTTTCTAAAATCTAATGTGGTTTAAATAAAACTAGATAAGTTTCTGATATCAAAGAGTAAGGTAAACTCTGCGAGTTTTTAAGTTTTCTAATAGAATAGATTGAAGTTCTATCTATCTGTAATTTGATCATGAAATGAAAAAAAAATGCTTTTATATCTTAAACATACCTTGCTTTTATCGAGAAATTATAGTTGTGTATGTACTAATATTAAAATCGTTCATAATAAATACATTCGATATCTATTAACGATATAATCGATACTGCTGTCGTAAGTCGTCTCAGATCTATTATAAATCTGTGATGTGTTAAAAGGGGCGTATTCTCTTGTGGATTTTCAGTCAACACAGGACTTGTTATTGAGTTAATTTTACGTTTAACGAGATCGCAACGTTCGGCGCTTCTTTAATAAACCAACTAACCACTAACGCGCTTACATTTCAATCTCTAAAAACGGTATTAAGGTTTACAAAGCCCTCACTTTTTTCAACATCCTTGGTCCTCAGACAATTTTTATTCGTATGATATTTATCGTTATTTATTTTATATGGAAGAAGCTTTGATTATAATAATGTCTAGATAGAGCGTCACTATCAATGATATTATATTAAAATATCATTGGTCACCATACAATAGCAACAAAAAACCAAAAAACACCTTCCAAGATTTCTTGCATGTGTGCGTGCGGCTTGTGGTTTAGGTAGGTAGGTACCTAAAGTTTTACCACACTTAAAGTTCTTTTATTGGACACTTTGTTAATATTTATTTTTGTCATATAAGGAATTTCAGTTTATTTTCCGTGTGAAAAATATAATTAAATATTCATATTAAGACATTTTTACATTATTTGTATAAAAACAAATTATAAAGATTGTTTCAATTACACCTAGTGATGTGCCGATGCCGGCAATATCGCCCGAAGTGGGAATTTTTGTGTCAAGATCCCCAGCAATATAGCCGGAGGTGGAATTATTTGGGAATATCGCTTAATTATAAGTCAAATTAACTACGAAAACTATGCGCTTTACTTGAAATTAGCATGTAAAGCCCATATTGCCAGCAGTTTAGGCAATAATCCCGGCATTTTACCGGCAATATTGTCAATGTTGCCGCACACTACGGCTGTATTGCTAATGTTGCCGCATATTAGCCAATGTTGCCGCTTATTTAGCAATTAAATAGGAGAGAGATGAGAGTTTATATAAATCTTCTTAGCCATTGAATCTATTAAATCTAGAATCATTGAATCTGTTTGAGTTAAATTCAGTAAACCGATAGTTGGAGACCTAGGAAACGATATATGATAGTCTTTATCACAGACGTCTCACGGGAACGGGAATTATGTGTTAAATCCCCGGGACTTTTTATCTCTTAACTTTACTACTGAATTTATTTTAGAGAGATTCGATATAACAATAGTCGATAAAAATAGCTTTTATCAATAAATCCTTACGAGAACGGGCACTATACTGGTAAAACACTGCGGAATTATTTATTTTTCGAAACCGCGATAAATTCGTTTGACAATTATAAATCTCACTTAGGCACTGTACCGATTCGGATTAATTCTGCCAAAAGTCATTATTCTACGCCGACAAAATTACAAGCAACAGCTAGTATTGTAATACACATGTTTCGATAATCCTTGCAAAACAAAATAGTCTGGCAATATTGCCAATACTGCTAAATGTTGCCGGCAAAATTGGTATTTTACCGGCAGCGGCAATATTGGGAATATTGACGGCAGTGGTAATATTGCACCTACTCCGCCAGCCACATCGCTAGTTGCACCCTTTCCATCAAAACATATAATTTAAGTAACTTCGATCGATTCGAACTTAAAAAGAAGGATTGAAACCAATCTTCTTTTTTAAGTCGGTTGGAATAAGTAGTACTTACATTAAAGCGTAGGTACCTAAGTGTTAGTTAAATAAATAATTAAATTATTTATTTATTTTATTTTTAATTTACAAGCAATTGAGATTTTTTGCCAATTTTTCCCTCTTTATGAGATCTGTGAGAAGGGAATATTGAAAAATAAATTGGCAACACTGATAAAATACGGCGGCAATTATTAGTGAAGTCAAAAACATAAATTGAATAATGTAATTTTTAATTACTTATTGGATAAGTGATCTGTTTTGTACTTTTTAACTGTCATTTATAATTTTAGCACAATTTTATGAAGCAGTTTTAGTTTTATACTCTACAAGTAGGCAAGCGCTAAATGGCATTTGGCTACAGCTGCTGTGTCAGTCAGTTAGTGTCATTGTCAAGTCATTCATTACTTTCACTTCACGTGAATTCACGTCAACTTTGGTGTCAAGCAAAGCGAGCGAGATTACCAGTCAGTTTATTATTGGGGATACCTACAGGATACAACACCAAACGTACTGGACAATAGAAGTACAACGTAAGGGTTATAAATTTTACTCCTTATTAGAACAATAGTTAGCTTCCGCCCGAATGGATACCAACTAATAAGCTATTGGAATCTGTTCTTCAGTTTCAAGTTCGCGTCCTGTAACCAAATCTGTTTATAGAAAAGTTTATCCATTTATCCGTTTATCCAGGAAGGCCATAGACTATAAAACATCACGCTACAATTTATGAGAACCAAACAGCGGGAGAAACCGCATCGGAGTAGTATAAACTTAATCAGACATTGTGCATTTTAATATGTAACAAACCCTAAATAGGTATCTAAATCTAGACCAAAATTGTCTGATGTACTTATACTCAAAATATCTGAATATGTTTATATAAATTTTGTTTTGTTTTTACAGTCTATTGACAACAAATCTTAATATGGCCAAAGTGAAGACTTGGAAAACAAAGGCTGATGTGTTAAGAGATATAGCAGAAGCTACAGGGACAGCACCAAAGAATGATATAGCTGCACAGTATATAGTTGTGGGAGATGCACCACCACCACCACGTCTCAGGGAAGATGAAGGTAACAATAAATTTAGCTAAACAACCCTTAAACTGTCAAACACCAAGCGGTCACCGGTGACCGCGACCTATTGTTCTTTAATTGTGTCTATAAAACCGGTACTCGACGAGTTAAATAAACATTTAATGTAGTAGATTTTACATTAGTCATATTATTCTAATGCTATTATTTCACCAATAACAATGAATTTAAGATTAAACTTTAAATTCATTACCTACCTACTTTCTTTAAATTGGCACAACAAAATTTTCTATTAATTTAGCAATTGATAGAGATATAAACACATTCTTTCTTTCTGCTGACCTTTTGTTTCACTAAATGATGTAGGTACCTATAAAGTTTGACATAACCATTTTTAATGTTGTAAAAAACCTTTGTTTAATAAACATAATATGTACCTCTATTCATTTAATTATTTTTTTAAACATCTTCTGTGTATTGGAATGTTACACTATGTTAAGTTTCAATGTAACAGAAGTAATAATAGTTCATTATAGAGTATAGATCAAAAGGAGTTTGCGTTACCTGTATCATAGTCTATTACTCTTCGAAATGAATATGGTTCGGAATTCTCAATAGGGTTTCAAATTACTTATTAATATAAACAATTGCAGTCTCCAAATATAGTATGGAATGTTGTACCAGCCAGCCAGTATATACCAGCTTTTATGACTAATCTGACAAAGGAAGGTTGCATGATGATAAATATTATTTGATAAATCAATACCACAACATCTATAAATCAGAAAATAGTTAGACTTGTGGGAAAAGTAATTGAGTTTTGGAATTTAAATATATACCTATTAACTATTATGTGGACCATCAGTTGAAGCCATTTAAATTATTGCCATTCAACAATAGATATTCCACTCTGTTGTTCAGGAATAAAGTATAAAAAGCTTTTGTTGGATTGGTTAATTTGATGTGCTGTCATCTTTACTGATGACCTGCATGAATAATGTTTTATCATCAATCTTCAATGTCATGTTGCAACTTGTTGTAACTTGCAACTAAATTGCTGATGTTACTTAGTCACTCACACTGGCCTCATAAAAATAGGGTAGATGACTAATTTTTATTTTTATATCTATCTGGTATATGATTTTAAAATATTAGATACGTATTTTTTAATTTTGTTACGGAAACAAATACTTTCGATGAAATATCGCGTGTAGTGATATATGTTTTATACGTAGAAATGATGTAGCTAGCTCCCACTTCTAAACTTTGAATCTTTTTATCTAAGTATTGTTTTCTTATACGATATCTTATTATATTTAGGTACGAAAAAAATATGAGTAAAATATACCTATAAAACAGTTCGAGATCGAAACATGAAACTATCTTTACCAATACACAAACATCAATCGCAAATCGATGACAGGCGCGATATACAACATACCTTTCCTTCATAATAATTAGGTGACAATAATCATTAAGATTATTCATATTATATAAACCGAGACTTACAACTGAAATTAATTAATAACAGCCAAGTAGGTACCTAATCACAATTTTATAATATAACTAAGTATTATTTAAACAATGAAGCAATAACTTTCAAAGACTTATACTAATTTTAAACTGTCAAACACCAAGCAGTCACCGGTGACCGCGACCTATTGTTCTTTAATTGTGTCTATAAAACCGGTACTTGACGAGTTAAAACCTAAGATCCATCTGAGCATCTTAGATGAATGGCAGTTCTGTCATTTCTATTGTAGGTCTATTTCATTCACTTCTCCCCTGGTCCATGGTTGGTAATCAAACAGGCTGGTCCACTGTCCACTGTCCTTTCAGCCTGTTGTTGGGAGAATCGAATCGAAGAACCAAAAAAAAGTTGTAATTATTTAACGCCGTGTTGTCACGTAATCATAAAAAATAACAAACATCTCGAAAACTACAAAAAATCGTGAAACATACATGGGGGTTAAATCGATAGGTATTGAACCCTGCTACCAGCTAGTAGCGGCTTCACACCTTACAAGAAACACCCTGTATACAAGAATTGCTCGTGTAAAGGTTAGAAAAATAAAAATTAGAATAATGATAACTGTTCGCTACCCTCAGGTAGCGTGATGTTTTATGGTCCGCAGCTTGCCTCGATAAAGGGACTACCCACGGACTACCTATCACAAAAAATATTTTTCAATACGAACAAGGAATCGCGAAGATTTAACGCATTCAAGCAAACAAACTATTCTAAATAGTATATTAATTTGTGCAATGTTGACTTTGAATTTCTGATTGCTGCAGATGACGAAATGGAACTGATGTTCGGGGACTCGTATAGAAGACTGTCACAGACGGAAAATATAGGTCCTGACCTCGCTGGCATACGGCAAATGTTAGATATGGTAAGTGCTTTTTTACATTTTAACAGTGTTATATCTGCTAGCGTGTTAGCTCCTATACACTATGACTTACGTCATCAAGATAGGTCTTGCGATTTGATAGGTATCTTCTAGAATAGCGACCAGTGCTTTGAGACAAAACATTAATCCAATCGAGTGAATAGAAAACTGCAAGTACTTACCTATAGAATAAACTGAACCACAACACTCGGGACAGCAGTGTGCTAACTGCCTGCTGGTAAAGGTTGCTTTTATTACCATGCAGTGTATGTGCAGGTAAAAACATGGAGTTCTAGTATTTCTTACGTTGCTGGCTCTCGGAATACATTTATATTGATGTCTATAAATGGGATGAAATATAATAGTTAGTAATAATGTGTAATACTTTTCCTCATAGTCATAGTAAAGAACGTCGTGTTTCATTCATAGGTGCGGAACTTGGACTGCGATGATGATGATGAAGATGCTGTTGGTGATCAAACTAATTACGCAATTACTATTAGTAAAGTTAAAAGTGATAGTTTATTGAACCCTAATGTCCCTGAATTCGTGCCCAATGGTGGTGTTAAAAAAGAAACTAATATTAATGGTGTTGTACAGAGTGCTAGTGCGTATGTAGAGACAAGAAAACAAACATGTAACTATGGTAGTAACAATAATGTGACAGTTGAGGCAGGCCCGCAAGCAACGAGCTATGAAGACATAACAACAGCTCTCAAAAACACTATCAGTGAAGCGGCTAGGTCAGACAGTCAGTCGTTTCATTTGAAAAAACAAAAGAACGTCGCTATAGCAACATTATTGCGGCTCTATGCCAACAACGACACCAGCTCCAAACCAGACGTTAAGCTATGGACTCCAGAGCAGTTTGAAAGAACAAAAAATGTTAGTTCGGACGTTAAGGTAGAAGAAAGTAATGCCTCAGGTAATGCGACTCCTAAAGAACAGGCTTTACCTTCGACTCTTAATGAGCCCTTAAGAAGTCCCGACAGTAGTGACAACATCAACCCATCAAGGGCTTTAGCACAGGATCCAGAAGTGAGAGAATCAATTGCAAAAGTCAACCGGTGGTTAGCAGCACCAGTTCAAGAAAAGCCGACAAAAACTCCATACCTGGGGCCTATATCTTTCAAGAGAAAGAACCCAGTCGTCAAGCCGAACACTGCAACACCTTCTCCACAACCCAGTACGCCTTCAAATTCGGACAGTCCATCAAGATCAATACAATTATATCAACCTACCAAGTTTGCCGCAGACCTCGGAAAGCAGTTTCGTGAGCGCAACGAACAAAAACAAATAGATGCTGAACTTCAAGTACCGAATTGGGAAAACCTTAGTGACGTGTTGAAACAAAAGGACATGGTTGCTAAAAAGCGGTTGGCAGGGCAAATATCATCAAGCACGAGCAATGCCGATTCGTAAGTACCGCAGTGACAATAAATAATAAATGTCTAAATGTTCTTATTGAAAACACAACTTCTATATTGTGTAAGGAAAATGCTCTAAAAAACTTTAAGAGGGCTATTACAATTTTGATTGAAATTTGTGTGTTTTGCACAATCTTTGGTGAGTGCTTACCTACACTTCAGATATAACGTCAAAAGAAAACAAAAATATGCCTAAGAAAATATGATAACTTCTCTATAATTAGAAATATTTTACGAATATTTTAATTCGTTCCCGTATTAATATCATAATCTTCACGAAAGAAGTTTTAGAAAATTCTATTTTAGGGAATCTTTTTTGATGCATTAACAATGCACAAAATATTCCCTAAAATAGATTTTTTTCAAAGGTATAAATATAATTGTTTGTAAAAGTGTTCTTGGTACAACCATTTATATTGCAGTGGAATGCACAGAAACATCTAAAATAAATTTGAAAAATCTGGATTTTATCATAATTTTCTGTACCTTTCCGTATTTTCTATCTATGAATGCGTCATGAAAAATCCATATAAACATTAAATAATGAAGTAGCTATAGTTGCTAAGTTTGAAAGAATGAAATTGGCTATACTTATTAATGTTTTTAAAAATTCGCATGTATGTCTACTAACAAGCATTTATTTACAGTAAATAATTGTTGTATGCAATACAAACCAATAATTACAATCCTGTGACGAACTTTAATAAGCGTAAAATAGTAACAGATATTCATTTTGTAAAAGCGTCCAGCACTTTTGCAGTCGTTATTATTATTATCGAACTGTGACGAAATTACTTTATAGTTTCAATTTACTTGTTAAAAAGTATCTTAGAAAAATGGTCCATTTTGCAAAATATGTAAAAACAGGACCTAAATTACATTATATAAGGTACATTTTCAATTCGTACAAATAACTTGGCACCCTTAAAACGCTTCTTAGCTCTAAACAAAAAGTGATCTGTTCCAGGTCTATAGAAAATTAAGAATTTAAAAAAGGTTAATAAGTGACTATAAAATATGTCTTTAAAAATTGACTGACATATCGTATATGTGATAAATTGTTCGCCTGGTTAAGCAAAACATTACCATATACCTACGTTAATCTAGGAATAGGCTCCCCGCCTAGACTTTTGTCACGTAAGTTTAAATAATTTGAAATTTGAAATGCACAGCCAAATATTGTTAGCGTTATTTTTAAGAAGAATATTATTTATAATAAAACAAATGGGAGGCTAGTTTCAGGTGCTAAGCCTTTGTAGCACTAATTATGACTGGTTTTTAAACTGTCATTTAGTGATATGATCTTGTCCAAATAATATAGGTAAGACCTATAACTACTGTACTATAAATTATTGATTTATTATTTCAAAGTAGACTCTAAGTGCAGTAGTCAAAGGTTCAATTTATATTTTTTATTGATATATTTACCAATTTTACTATTAGAAATTAGATTGTAAGTTTTAAAATGTGTAGTGTAGATGTCGTTCCATTTCTGCCTTGAACAATTATTTGTATGTGCAGATATTGCATGCGTCTGAATGTGATTTTATTAGTAGAAACCCTAACACGAGCATGGTGATCATTCTAGATGCTATTTAGTGTGAAATGAAGAATTCTGTATTGCATTGTGTTAGAATGTTTGAATATACAATTTAAAATAGTTCAGTAGGTACCTACAGTACTCCATCTTTGTTTGTCGATTAGAAATTGAAACACAATCTAACACCTTGCATTTTTGAATAACACATTTACACCATTTCACGATAATACATAATGAGATAGTCATTGTTAATCTGTTCTCGTGTATGGGTATAGATTTTGGCAGTGTAAAAAAGATGGATGTATGAAGGTATGACATCAGATGTAGCACAAAGGGCAATGCAACTTTTGCCGTACATAGCTGGCATGTTTTATTTATCTATTCGCCAATTGTGAAACTTAGGCCATACGTTAAGGGTGTATTAAAAATCAATAACAAAAAGAATTAGGTCTACCGACCATTGTAGAGTTTTAAGTAGATTGTTATTTATTTTTTATCATCTCCGTCGGTTACGGTTGGTAGACTTGTTTCTTTTTGCTATTGATTTCTTGTATTTTATAGGTTTCATTTCTGGCGAAAGAAAAAATGTTCAACTCATCGTGGCTATAACGCGGATCCATGTGAGAGTCGGTGTATTTTCTACTGTGTCTTATATCTTCTTCTCTGTCGTTTCGCTCTTGGCAGAGCGGTCGTGGTCACGTTGAGGCGGCCGTATTTGTGTTGGAGCCCGATACAGCTTTCCTCACGATCTCCCGCCATCTCTCTCTGTTTGTGGATTGTTTGGCGCAGTCTGACACTGGGTTTCCCGTTGCCGATTTGACTTGATCAGTCCAGCGCATAGGTGATCTGCCTCCCTTTACTTTCCCCTGAACGACCAGCCGCTCTATGGAGTTCTTATCACGACGGGAGACATGGCCAAAGTACTGCAGTATGCGCGTCTGTACTATGGTTGATAGACGGTTTGTGATGCCGCGTTTTCGGAGTATGGATACATTGGTGCGGAACAAAGTCCACGATACACCAAGCATCTTCCTCCAGCACCACATCTTTAGAGTATCTATCTTCCCCTTATCCAATTCACGTACTGTCCACGTCTCTGCCGCGTAGAGGAAAATTGGAAATACCAGGGCCCGCATAAGTGTCTTTTATAGGTACGGGCATTTGAGTGGTTCTTCATGCCCGTAGTTTGCAATGGCCTATAAAAGCCATGGTGAATAGATATGCAAATATTATATTAGTGTTAGAAAGCTTCACTTTCAGAAGATCTGAAAAAAAAATGTTTACCTTTCTTGTTTCTTTTGGCATGAGTCATTAACATGTAATGAGAAGTAAATAAAAAACTAGTGTTGGATTTTAATGTGGAAAAAGTTTTGTGATAAGATATCGTTTGAGAAGGGCGAAGAAAAAAATATATGGTGCCGTACCCAAAACTAATAGAATGAGGGCAGGTAGAGAAAAAACTTAAACAAAAATTTGTTAATGATACCCACTCACCCAGTGAAGTGTACCTAAGTTAAAACGTTAATATTTCACTTATTTTATTGCTTTTAACACTTGATGTCAAGTTCCTACCAACTTCACAATTCACTTCAGATCTGCTACATCTGGGATGAATGGTAGGGTGGGTGGTCACCTCCTTATTGTCTAATTACCAACTATAGTAGATGTTAACAGTAATATGTAAATATGTAGCCATAATTGTAACATTCTCGTGTTTTATACTTTGACTGCCGTAGTAATTGTTAATTTATTAAGTTACAAAATTAATCTATAAATTACAAGTATGTAATGAAATATTTTCATTACTTTACTAAATTTCTTTGATTTGCTCATTTAACTAATAACTTGTTGTATTCTAGTTTAGTGGACACTGCACTGAACTTGTTTGACATGAAAGTATAATTATATTAAATTTGTATTAATTATTTGAAAAAAAAAAATTAATTACGTTTTGTTGTCAAGTGATGGCTTTGTTGGTCAAATACGTATAAGCTTTTAATATGAAGGTTGACACCCTGGGTTGTGTTGATGTCTTAAAAAGTGGATTTGTAAAGTTTTTGAAACTTAACTTTTGAGACAATTTATAGCAGCAATTGTATAAAGTTACCATATGTTTACCCTTTTGAGGAATAAGGATGTGATATTAAGAAATGTGTAATTAAAGACCTTTACTACTAGGACACGACTGTTTATGTCCTTATATTTTGTATACTCAACGAATATATATATATTGATGTTGTTATATTATTAAGTATTCGGTATAATATTTAGTATTATACGGTATCAGCCTTAATGAAAAGCGCGCCTAATGTTACATTAGGTACTTTTATATCATGCATGAGTCATGACATCAATAATTGATATGTTTGTACGTCGTTGTTTGTTGTATAAGATGGTATGCAGTAATAACTTTGTTTAATGTAATTATATACTACTCAAAACAAAATAAGGGCCACACTGTTTTCAGCTTTTATCAAAAAGCATTAATGTGTTTCTGGTTTTTACAACAGGTAAGGTTTAAACTTACTGATTCTAAAAAATTATATTCTTTAGAAATACAAAAAAAGTACACTTTTTAAGGAAATTGCATTAAAATAACGATGGATACCAAAAACACAATTTGTTTACTTTTTTGAGTGTTGTTTAAATATTATTGTGTTTAGAAGTTGTTGGAACCTCCTCTACTCCATATTTCAGGGTATCTGTTACACTTCCAATATGGTGGGTGACCATTTCTTCCGGTAGCCGTTCCCAACAGACCTTAAGCATGTTTATGAATTCCTGCTGATTGTTTATTCGACTTTAAGTCTCTTTTAAGTTGGTCTCGTAGATATTCAACAGTTTTGAGACTGGGTCTTATTGTAGGCTATGGCGAAACCCTAATATAGGTGCCAGAAGGAGCCCTTTTTTTTAATAAGTACTTGTTGTCTATGGACGAGCATTGCTTTGCGTAATTAGCAAACCATCATGTATGTCCTCAGGGCTCGGTTATTGGCCCGTATTTATGGAATTTAGGATTTGATGATTTTCTCGCGATCCGCCTTCCTTGTGGCTGTACTTTGACTGGATATGCGGATGATGGCCTTTTGCTAGTACAGTCAAATACCCGCGCCGGACTGGAGAATTTGGCTAAAGACTGTCTCAGTAGGATCTCGCGATGGGGCGAACGAAATCGCTTGACTTTTGCACCCCATAAAACTTACCAGCTATTGCTTAAAGGAAATCTAAAGTCGTGGCCGTCTATTAAATTTAACAACGTTTCCGCGGGCTGAAGTTATCTGTGCTCGCGGGCGTACTTCCGATAGATCTTGAGGTGCAGCGACAGATTGTTTAAGCCAGGACGTTTGGGATGAGCTTATAACTGAATGGCAGGGTAGATGGGCATCTTCTATTAAGGGCCGCCACCTATATCAGTTCTTCCCATCCGTGCATGAGCGGCTGGAGAGGACATGGTTGGAGGTGGATCACTGTGTTGCCCAATTTCTTACTGGCCACGGCAACTTTAAAAGCAAATTGTTCTCATTTAAACTTATTGATTCACCATGGTGCCAATGTTCGACAGTGGAGTTGCAATACGAGCAGTCGGCCCATCACATACTCTGGGAGTGTGATCTCTGGCAATATGAACGTAACACTATGTTGAATAATTTAATTGTTTCGTCAGGTGTAGCTTATTATACGGACCTTGTGGAATCTAGAACAAATTTCCGTGCGTTTAGGCGCTTTACGCGGCGCGACTAAAAACCACCCCGTTCCTTCTCCTGCACGTCGAGCCGAAGCCCCGGTTACCCGTTAGGTTCTCCGCGACTCCGAATCGGCATCGGCCCTATTGAGCCCCATCTGTGGTGGTCTGATGGCTCTTTAAGGCGCGCGCGGAACGCGACGCGCCGTACGCTCGGGTCTGTTTCTGGTCGGACGGGGAGCCACCCATTCTCGCCGTCCGCAGGCCCGCGCTTACGGTGGCCGGAGATCGTCCCGCGATCCCCGACGCCCGGTGTGTCCTTCGCGTTGGCTGGGTTGCGAGGAGGCAGCGCTTCGCTGCCTCACGCGTCCCGCCTCCTCCTTAGCTAGCATGACTGCTTCGCAAAAGGAGGAGACGGCATCCCAGTCCCCCTCGGTATCTCGGTATCTCGGCATCGCATCATGGCCTGCACTAGGCCCGGACGCGAGAGGTCGCCATCGCCGATCACTTCCCTGAGGGCACGGCGGTGCTCAGCCCACGCAGGGCATTCCGCTACGGTGTGTTCCACCGTGTCCTCAGGGCGGTCCTCGCAAACTTAAAAGCGTCGTTTCAAACATTAGTAATTACTTAAAACATGGTTCCATTGCCAACCTCTTGCTCTTGATTTACTTTAAGACAAATATATGTTTACGATGATAGCCCTTGTTTTGTTTTGAGTACCTAGTGTATTAATGGAAACCAAAAGTTATGCGTCATATTTACCAGGCTGCGACTCATGTACTTAATAGGAGGCAGAGCCGTATTTTTCCAGGCAAGCGCCTTGGGAACTTGGATACAGAGGGGCGCCGAGAGACGCATGTGTACAACTGCCCATTAGCGAATGCTACACGCTCGATTATGGGGTATTTATAAAGTCATATTTAATTATATTTATTACGCTTTTCAGTTACTGTAATTGTGACTGTATAAAATAAAAATACGCCATACTTCAAACTCGATAAATATCGTGATCCTGGATTACTATCCAAATATCACGAAAAATATCAATCGTGTAGCATTCGTTATAGAGTTAACTAAAAATAATGGATTACTTACTCATGAACATATAAGTAGTGAGAAAAGCTCTACTAGCTTTATTATAAAACATTGACCATAGAGTGGCGGCGGCGCCAAAAAAGTTAAAGAGGCGTCTATGAGGTGCTTGCCTTGGGCGCTCACTAGGTCTTATCCGCCTCTGCTAGGACTGGAAGCCTATTAGCCTAGCAAAGGACAATCACGAGCCGTGTGTAAATAGGTCGCACACGTCCTTTAGTATTAGTTTTATAATTCGTTCTATTCCCTCCAAAATGGTTGAGTTGAGCGTTGCTTAAATTAAGGCATTATATTTTGTTACTTTATTTTACTTTCACACATTCTCTCATGATTGTAATAGAATATTGTAAACTTGTAATTTGCAAAACATGTTTTGAAGTTTAAAATAGTAACCAAGTTGTTTTTCATTGAAATAAATACTTTGAACTTAACATGCTTATTATTTTCTAAGTAATCTTATCATCACAACACAATATAGCCAAATATTTTTTGCATAAATACTACCTTTTTTTATATTACCAAGCGGTCGTGTCGTGTTCCAACAACATGGTACCTGGTAGTATTCACATTTGGTTTGCTAAGTTTTTTGTAGGTACCATACATTTTTGAGAGTTTTTCAAATGGGCTGTTTCTTTTTACCCAACTTTAGAAAAATAAACCTATAGATTATTTTTTGCCTTGGTTCCAACTTACTAAGTATCACATACATGTGATGAAGTGACTATTCAGAGTAGGCCTCTGTTTTTTGTGGCCCTTGCCCCCTTGGTCTACATCTTATAAGTGTCCTTTATCTTTTTATTTATTAAACAGCGGACACGGAGCAAAAAGGCCACTGTCACGGTCTTAAACTTATTTATTAAACCTATAAAAATGTATTTATTTATGCTTCGAGTTAGGCTTTATGGATAAAAATATGTAAGTACTTAGGTGGGCTTAATGCAGTGCATGCAATAGGCATTCTCTTTCAGCCAAACCTTTGGGTATTGCAGAGACATCTTGTCTATGTCTTATGCCCTTTCAATATCTTTTGGACTTCATCATATGTTTTGTATGGCTGTAATTTATCTGTAATAATAAAAAGTGCTTTGGGACTCAGTGTTCTCTTTCACCTTTACAAGTGGCAAATCATTTTACCCCTATATAGGTAGACTCGTTGTGTAGATATTGTCTTAGGGAATTTGGTACCTACCCCTTCTGAATTTCATACAAGATAAAAATGTTCTTATGTGGGTAGGTAATTAACTTAGTAACAGCTGTAACAGTACTGCACTGACTATAAAAATGTAATAAACAACTCTTTGCACGTAACTTTTTCTTTCTTTAAAAAAACGTTGCCCCACATTAGGATTTTCTCCTGTGTCGTGGGTGCGTTTACAAACACAACTTCACTTACACAATGACACCCAGACCCGAAACAACAATTTGTGGATCACACATGTTGTTCCGTGTGTGAATCGAACCCGTGACACGTTGCACGGCAGCCGGTTGCTAGCCACCGCACCAACCATGCAAACTGAAAGGTAACTGAAAGACAGTTCGACAAATGTTCGAGCGTGACGAGTATTCGGTATACAGGTAGGTACCTGTAGCATACCAATGCAATAGCAATGTTGCAATTGCAAATAAGCAAACGGATCAACGGCACTCAGTGGCGTAACTACAGGGTGACAAATCAGCAAAATGCCACGGTCTCCAGTTGGAAGAGGGGGAGGGGGGATGTTTTTTATTGGGAACGGGGGCCCATCCGATGACTTTACCACGGGTTCCAATCCAAACGGTATAGTTTCGTTACGCCACTGCCAACGCTGGCCAATTGGCCATAGAGGGCCAAGTGCGTTGCCGTTGCCGGTTTTTTTGACATAGGATATTTGGATATTGAGAATTGGGTATTGGGTCCTTCCAGGATACATTGTTCACATTTTGGCAGTTGAACTTGTTTGAATGAGACGTAGGTAGGTACTTAAGTACCTACTGTAGCTTCAAAATTCTAATTATGAAACAAATTAAAACTCCTCGTTTGTAAGTATTAAGTATAAGCGGAAGTATCGCTTACCACCAGGCGAGATAGTGGTCAAACGTCGGCCCATCATATTTGATGAATAAAAACAAGTAGGTAACAAAGTTGCGACTATAACCACAATAGGTATGTAGGATCTATAGTGCATGGCACGCAGAAATGATATGCCTACTTAGTGAACATTTTCAATAATACGAATCGGCAATACATTAATTATTTATACAAACTTATTTACAATTTACATTCATTCGAAGTGTCTACTTAGCAAATAATAAAGTTAAGCTAATTGCGATAATCGATTAAAAACATGTAGGGGTTAGCACTAGTTCCGTATACCTACACCATTTTTGAGTGAGAATCGCTGGATCCAAGAAAATAAAAAGGGGAATGGGGATTCCCAGGCCATAGCTAATTGTATCGCATTCGTAAAATAATTCTAAGCTCTTTGGGCTTTTTGCTGTCATCTGTCTGTCAATATAATAAGTTACTGTCAGTGTCACTGTGTCACAGACATTACTTGACATGACAGTTGACTTGTTAGAGTCAGAAAGTGATAGAAAAACGTTGTGTGTGCGTTGTTTGTTTACAATCATACTTAAACATTTTACAAACATTGATTCAGTATTATTATTAGGTCTTAGACTTAAAACTTTCTAGCTTATTCTCATCCCATGAGGAAAAATATTCTAAGTTGTTAATTTTGTAACTTTATGACCTTTGGATTCCTGTTACACAAGATTCAAGGACTCGACATAGTGTAGATTGAAAGTATTGGTAAGTAAGCACAAATAAGTGTCTAATGAGACTAATAACATTGTAACATTGTAACTATGTACCAGCGTTCTTAAACACTTGATTATATTTTAATGTAAGTAGTCCTGTAAAATCCTGTTCTGGTTAAACACTAACAAGTAGGTAGATAGTAAATAACTTATTACCTAAGTAACTTAATAAGTATAAAAATCTATTTCTACAACCAAAATATCTTTTTTGGTTATTGAAATATAAGTCTATGTAAGTGTTATTATAATATTGTTTTTTTATTTTTTTATTTTATGTTTTTATATTGTTTTCTTTTTATTTTTGTTTTTCAATGTTTATGTTGTGTGTTAAATTTCGGTGGTCCATGTCTGGTGGCGAATAAATTATTTTTCTTTCTTGCTTTCTTTTGTTACTCTATTATATGTACTCATAGATATAATGAATTTGTATTAGAAAACTACGAAATTACTTTCTGTAGTTTCTCATAAAATTAATGTCTATATTGTCTACTAACATCTGCCAGTTCACCTGCGTTCCTAAAATAAAAAGTATCCTATGTGTTATTCTGGACTAATCTACCCCTGTTCCAAATTTCATCCAAATTCCTTCAGCCGTTTGGATGTAATTGAGTAACAAACATTCACACCAAATTTCACATTTGTAATATTAGTAAGATGTTTACGTTTTTCTTTCAGTAGTAAAGATGGGTGACTGGATGAGTTTGGAAGCCATTATGCGAGACCTGTCAGTAGCTCAAGGATCCTGTGTTCCAGCCAGTTTGGAGACATACACATCCAATGCTCCCCCAGCATACAATATTGACGAAGAGGGTACTTACATAAACTACACTCAGTACACTATTCTTATAAGACCCAAAAACTATTAAAAAATGAATGATTTGGTGAAAACAATAATCAATTATTAAAAACTTTTTTGATACTTTCTTGACAAAACAAAAAAGTTTAGTAAACTTACATATTATATACCTATTAAATTAACACACTACCCTGTGTTAACATATTTAATGAATTAATACATAATGAATTTATACATCATTCAAGAAAAATGTTGCATTTGACTATCTGGCCCTAACTATATCACAAGGGCATGTACTAAGAGTCCGCGTGGAGAACTAATATTTAACATTGGAAAAAAAATACCTTAACTATTGATCCCAGTATGTTTTCAAAGTCAAAATCAAAGCATTTATTTCAATTGAACCATAATTTGGTATTTTTGAAACATCAACAAATATAAAATAAATAATAGTCTGAGTGTCCGTCAGTGAAGCTAGGTTTTATTGTGTCTTATAAGATTGACCGGCTTGTGATATCAGATGACAGTTTAATAATTTTCTAATTAGAATCGTGTTATGTTGTAGAAAGTGAAGAACAAAAATACTATACATGTGATGCGGATGCAGAAGCAAGCTTTGGAGCACCAGACTGTAGTCAGATTCAACAAATGCTTAGGCTGGTATGTTATTTATAAACAGTAAAAAATACTAGTCAAAGTCAAGTCAAAATTTCAATTAAACCATAATTTGTTACTTTTGAAACATCAACAAATACAAAATAAATGTCAGTCAGTCCGTCAGTGAAGCTAGGTGAATCTAGGTGGCTAGGTGCTTATTTCAAAATGTAAATTCCAATCGAGAAGAACAACCAAGAAACTCCATGTGTTACTCTTTTTAAAAAAAAATTATTGTCTACAATGTCTCTGATACATATTCCAATACTGTATGTATATGGGTAGCATTAAATCTGCCTTTTGTAACATTCAGTATTTGATATGCAATTAGTAAATAATTATGAATATTATTCAATATCAGTATTGTAAACAGTCTGCCCAATCAAAGATCTAATAAACTCTAGAATGAGCATTTCTGTCAAATAAATACAATGTTATACTTTAGCCATGGAGTGGGCGTGCCATGAGCATTTTGCCGCCCGCGCTAAAAATAACTTGATACCTTTTTTTTTAAACTATTGTTTTATAGTCTTTCTTGCACTTTTTAATAGCTACCACTAGTCTCGTTGGCAATGCGTGCCGAAAGATTTGACGGTGGCAGTGCGCTAAGGACCGGTTGAGAAGATGTTCGCTAGGTTTCAATGGGCGGCAAAATGCTCGCCACGCGCCCACGGCGCACTCACTAGGGTTAAGATATTATACTAAAATATTCTCTATTACATTCTTTCAGGTAAAAGAAAGTGAAGCCAATAAAGATGAGAATCTAAATGGATCAGGTGACTTTAACCTGCTGAGCTCAGAGGTAGCAAAGAATAGAAATAAAAAGAAATTAAAGAAAAATGCAGCTCTCTCGTCCATCATAGCTGCACAGGAGGCAGATGAAGCGAGAAAACATCTTATTGGTGACAATATTGTTCAGAATATGTTTAAAAGAAAAAGTAGAGTTGTTAGTGAAGTCAAAGATCCTGCTCCTAAGGTTCCCATACCTGCTCCATCCTTACCAAGACCTATTCACAAATATACTCCAAGTGCACGAGCTAAAGAATATTACCACAAGTTTGAAGAGCAAACCAAGTTTCGGGAACAGTTTCAAGAGGATATATGGTCTATAGTTGAACGACAGATGTATGAAATTGACGAGAAGTAAGTATACTAGATAATTAAACGTTTATAGTAAAAATAATTTGCAAAGTCAACTTTCTTATTGAAGACACTGACTTCAACAAACTTCTATTAAAATTGTTATTTCAAGGAGATCCATTACAAGATATGTACCACACACATGACATGAATGTATATCTTCAAAATGAGATACTTTTTGTATAAGTATATGACACATTTAGTAGCAATTTCCAACTCTGAAGTTTTAGGGTGCGTCCACATCTGACGAATGCGTCACGGGCTGGTCGCGAGATGCGCGTTCTTTTAGATCATCTATAAGAGTTATAAAGATATGTACAATGTTGTTTTAGACGGCAGGAAGCTGAGCTGGCCAGTCTACAAGAGTCTGATGTCACAAGCACAAGTGCTTCCAGTTCTACAAGTGGTACGTCATCCTATCCTTATCTGGAATTACTAGGGATCGACGTCGACCCAACGCCCTCATCGTCCCATAACATCTAACAGATATCTCATTATATTACATGCTCTTTTTTCATTTCATCAACAATCTCAATAATATAAGTTGGTACAATTTGTACTGTTTACTAAAAATGACAAGTTATTTACGTAAATATACTAAGAAAAGCTTTACGAGTTTCGAGTCATAGAGGGACTCTTCCTCATGAGGTAGGATGCACGACATTGCCGCGACCGCCGACGCTGCTCATGAGGCGTGCTATGAGTAGATCTTTTCTCACTAAATTTACTTCAGTAACTCGTAACTTTTAGTTAATTTAGAGGCCAAAGTAATCATAACGAGTACGCTTTCGGCGTTGTGATTGGTTGCTTCATTGGCGCCGGCCAATCAGAGTGCCGAACGCATACTCGTTTCGAATACTTAAAACGTAAATTAAACTCGTACTAAGGCCTCTGTATGTCTCACGATAGTTTTTATAAAAACAATTTGTACTGTTATATAGTGATAATATATATTTTCTTATTACTTACTCCATATCCATACATGGGTAATGGTTTTCTTTTGCGTTCATCTTATTGTACAGTCAAAGGTAAAAAGTCCACTGCCACCGTGAGTGATGTTCACACGGCAATGCGTAAGTAATTCCATATTAAAGTGGATCAAAACGCGTCCGTACGCATAAACACACACACGCGTACGCACACGGATAAAAATATGCGTGTGCATGTGTGTATAAGCGCTGCAGCGCAACCGATCTTACGGTGGCAGTGGACAAAACCTTTGACCGTACATACAGTGTTACTGTGTAACTGTTTTCTCCCAATAAATAGAATAATACTCTCAGATTATGTTCAGTTTTATTTAGTTGCCCGCTTCCTAGTCATCAATTCAATTTAGTTCTAAGTTACTACTATCACATAGGTTGAACAATTCTACGTACAAAGAGAGATAATAACATTTTAGTCTCTAAGTCTCCTTTGTACCCAGTAACTCAACACCTATAATAAAACAAATTACTTCTTGGTTTTCCAGGTTACGATATAGTGAACTTGCCGTGTCACCGTCACGAAATTGAAGCTGATTGCGTGGTATGCATAGTTGCCTGCAAACATGGGTACAACTTTTAAGCACTAAGAAGTAATACATTACTTGATTCAATATTGCATAGGTAATTTTAAGTGTGGGAGAGCCCTGGGCCGGCTCTGCAGGAGTAATACTACAGCCTCACAGAAAACCGACGTGAAACAACGCTTGCGTTCTGTTTCGGTCATTTGAATGAGGTTAACGGAGGCCCAATTTCCCTCCTTCCCAATCTCCCCACTCTTCAAATTCGTAACTTCCAAAAGGCCGGCAACGCACTAGTAATACCTCTGGCGTTTCGGGTGTCCATGGGCGGCGCATGACTGATTAAAAGACCTGGAGCCCAATTCCTTATTTTTAAAAATTATGCCCGGTTCGGAATCGGTTTGGAATTATGCCCAGATGTCAACTCACTGCATGGGACTGCTAGGATTAGTGATAAGAACATAGTTATAGTTATATATTTAAAGAGTCTATGAAATTGCTTTAAATATGAAAATACAGGTAAATAACTTGAATGTTACATCCCTTGAAGGATTAAAAAAATTATGATAACATACGGCTCATCAAAATCTACAAAAGTCCAATTTTCAACACTGAAGGGTTAAGAAACTACTATTGCTTTCTACTCAGATCATCTGCTTCAGCCGAAGACGCATCCCTGGCCCACTCGCGACTTACGAATAGTTTTTTAACCTCCGAGCAAGATTAGTACTCTCGCGACTCCACAATGAACGGCTAATGAAGGAAGCCAGAGGTAGGAGATCTGTTCCTCGTCATCTTTCACTCCAGCCAACCAATTAAGGCAAGCTGGAGAAATGGTGACTTCTACCTGGAGCACTCGGGATGTTGGTAGCTCACGGGGTCGCTAATGCCTCAAGGTGCCTTACTGGCTTATTATTATTGCTGTTAATCGCAAAAGTTGTTTGTTTGTTTCTTCTTCACGGAACAGGGGAAAATAGTGGTCTGGAATAACACATAAGCTAATTTTAATTTTATTAGAATGCAGGCGAAGCCGCTGCCCGAAGCTAGTTGGCTAATATTATATGTATTAAGTAAATTAGGTACCAAATATTTAAAATATTATAAATTGTTTTAAAAGCAACTGTTAATTGATTGAATCAACCTGATATGTGATTTTAGTAAAACTATTTAGGTGTGTAGTAAGAAATTGAAAGTCTGAATCATTGAGAATGAGGCGACACCTGTGGTTTGTTTAGAAAATTGTTTTAGGAAATCTTTAAAAGATCCTTATAATTAGGTGCTAAGTACAAGGTACTGGAACCTTTTTATTGTAGAATTCTATTTTTTTTATAAATTACTACTTTTATGAATTCTTTGTACTTGTAAATACTTTCATACGATTGTCAATAACTTGGATAAAGGTAATTGTGTAGTTTTTTTTTTGTATTTTAAGTTCAATATCTACTATTGCACAAGTGAACAATAAATTGTTTCAAACAGTCGTGTAGTTTTAATTATGTCAGTACCTACTCCCTAATTTGCACAAAGTTTGGAATACGCGCAATATACTCAACTCCTTTTGCATGGAACTTAATCATATAACTGATAAGACCTGGATATTATAATGTACATTGTGCTAGTCTGCTTACCGATTCTTTTACTTCTCCTTTAATAATATCTTCTGTTTTATTTCGTTATGGGATTCAAGACAGTTATTTATGTTCCTAACGCACCGGACTTCACGGTGTTTTTATGATTGTATCGACTGTAGATCCTACCTAGCTTAAAGGAGTTGCACCGGTTTTGGGAGGATGCGTTTTTGGTTGGGGCCCTTAAAAAAATATTACTGTTTCGGGATTTTCTCTTAGTTGCCGATTAGATTAAAACTTATACTTACATTTAATAACTTATACTTACATTCATTAAAAGAACCACTACTACTACCTAAGTAGTAGTAAGTACTACCTAAGTCGGCACTATAGTGTTGAACGTTGAACTGTCGACATACCATGGAATTTTACAGCGGCGACGTTCAATATCCATCGCTAATAATACTCGGTCAATACTCCAGTAGTGTATGTATGAAGTCTTCATGACTCTGTCATCTTTGCTCATTTAATTGTCACAATCAGTAGCTCGCTACAAGACAGCGCGGTCGTTTCTCGTTCCCTATCTAAATAACTTTAGTGCTTAGTGTGATGACAAAAATTATATCGATACTTATTAGACTAGGCTGTAAGTGTAATACCTTGCGTTTGGATTTGTGACAAATATTTTGAAGGTAAGTTTTCGACAGCTATCGAGATGTTCGTTTTTTAAAAATTGCGCCAAATTCTTACTTATTTTTTGAGTTTGTTGGTTGAGTAGTCGCAAGCGCAACTGTTGAACGAGCAGCTCTGGGGTCTAAGGTTCGTTTCCCGGGTCCACCCTCCATTACATGGGACATAAAAACAAAAAAGTGAAAAATAGTGCTACAATAAAAATGCGCACCGCTGCCTACCCCTTCGAAGACTAAAAGGCGTGATGATATGTGCGGTTGCGTATGTTAGGTATAATGTCCCAAAAATTACAGTAGTTTAATTTGAAAGCAAAACAAGCAATGAGTTTAGCATTCAAAATGCTTGTTAGATTTTTTTACTGTTAATTACAAATGCAATCAACCAGTTAAAATATTTACACTACTGACCTCGAGGGACACAATACTAACAGATTATATTATTATTTATTTATTTATATTCATTTACACTTCATTTATTATAATTTTAGCAACACCATGGTACACTCGATCCCTATAACAAACATCGCAGTTGGAGTGGATGGAATAATTCATACGGTAAGATTTATTATGTAGTATTTTATAGTAAATTTAATACTAATCTAGGTAGGTTAGGTACCTACCATCATACCTAGGTGATAAATAATGCAATCACGATTTCGCTGCGTAGGTGACTATTGTAATGAAATGACTGGATATAAAATCTATTAATGTAAATCGGTATTTATTTAAATATCGTAACTATAATAAAGTACGTAAGTAGTTAAGTAATTATTTAGAATTTAAGTACCTACGTATAGGTACCGCCTGTATAATATGTAAACATAACGCAACCGAAACGCTGACAAAAACAAATTGTTTTACTATTGGGTACTTACTTTACTTTCCAATCAAAAATAAATTATTTCGACTGTTCAATACAATAAAATATCTATTAATTTTTTTTTTCTTCTTCTTTGGCAACCGAGTCTCCAAAATGGTGTTGTCGACTATACTGCCAGTGCCGAATGAACAACTTAATTTTAGTATTTTTCTAACAAATTTTTAAGAAAGAAGTACTTACCTACACTTTTTGGCGCTAAAAAAAGTGACGTCACAATTCACAATCTCGTTCAAAATTCATAGAAAACTGTCGTTTTTGACAGTTCGAAAAAAGTATTGAATTTGACTAGTTGTCAAATACCGATTTTAATCGTTTTTGTTTTCGTGTTATTCATGAAATATTAGCCTTGAGCAGTTGAACTATTAACTCGTCGAGTACCGGTTTTATAGACACAATTAAAGAACAATAGGTCGCGGTCACCGGTGACCGCTTTGTGTTTGACAGTTTAATATGTAAAACAATTATTTCCTTAATTTTGTAAATAAACCTCGTGTTTTACTATCACCTGTCTTCGTTTTTGGGAGCGTTCCGTTTACATACTATTGTATTTTCTAAGAACCTGTATGTGTACATTATGGATGTAATGTCTACATTATGGATGTAATAAATACTTCATTACTTAATTACTTGATTAGGTACAACCTGTATAAATAGCTAGTTCAGTACTGACTCCGGACTAGTTGATTTGAATGATTGCAACTTTGAAGCTACATCGAGCCTCGAGGTGTCAGGTTTGATATAGCTGGTAACGTGCAACTAAGAAGTTTGCCTCTGGGATCTTTGAGGAATAATATTTCATTACAGATTTACAGAGTAATGAACCCGACACTATTCACGTTTGTATTCTAATAAATTCACGTGTAACGATAAGCCTATTTAAGATACCTAGGTATTTCTTGTAAGATGCAGCGCAATCGAGTCGAGGGCTCGGGTGTTATTACTAAGATTATTGAATAACTGATAACGGTTATATCACAGAGTAATAATGAGGTGCTTACCTAAGGCGCTCCAAGTTTAATCCACTTCTGTTCTTATTATAAATCGCAAGAAACTTAAAAGTTAACAGCTAGTCTGATTTGTAACCAAATAAATGAAATGCGATCGAGCACACTTCGAGAGTGAGGATTGATATCTTATAGAATATAGCAGAAGAGGTTCGAGCTTTGCTCTGTGTTTTATTTTTTAGTAAATAAACCGAAGTAAATAGATTTAACGCCCCCGAAACCCCCTCAATACAAAATTTAAAGATATCGTTGGAGCCTTTTCCAAGATCTTTGTTTGATATAAGTACATATAATAATTGCTCGTTTAGATAAATGTGCATCTGTTCCCTTCAGCTTCAGACAATGAAAGGCCACTAGAAAATCTGCACTGTAAGATCTAATGCAGTTATTTACTTATATCTCGAATGTCGGAAGAAGGATGGTCCTATTGTTTCATCAAGAAGGAGTATTAATCCTTCTATTGTTCATACATCCTTCACGCTTATGACCCTTCAAGAGGCCTGACAGTCACAGATATGTTTTTAAGTCCGTCTTTGAATAATTACTACCGAAGTACCGTTGCCAATGCATTCTATTTTGGGACGGTGATGATGATGATTGTGCCAATTTATTATCGAACTGATTCGTTGCTGTGGCGATTAAAGTTGTAGGTATGTGTTTCTGTTTACAAACAAAGTAGATAGATTATAGAGCTTCTAGTTAAAAATTAGCCATATAACCTTAATTTATAGTTTTTGTAGAGAAGTTTATAACTAGGTAATTATCAAGTGATTACTTAACTGTTTTATTGGAAAAGAAAAGAATCACTACCGATACTATACAGAGTGTGGAACCAGATATAATTTAGATGAAAATTCAGGCAAGTAACCCTATGAATAAGCAGAATAAGCAAGCATCATGTACCTACTTTTCTGAGCAATTTTATAAGGTATCTTACTAGCTAAGCTAGCTAGCTAGCTATAGTTACGAATCAAACAAATATTATCACAATTAAACTAAACCTCTAACCTACATTCCTTACTGCTCATTAACTACGTCACATTGCTGACATACTAAAAATGCAAGCCTTGCATTTGATTGGCTCTGCAGAACAATACTGGCGATAATATTGTCGTAAACTGTTCAGAGAGAACCCATGGTGTATTATAACCTCAAATATGAGCCAGTGCCAATGTTCCTACAGTGTAGTCAGCACCCAGGTAGGATAATACAAGAATAAGTAAGTAATACTTATTTTAAGTTCTATCTAAACACATGATATTAATTTTTATCTCCATTCTTTTGTTACAAGAAATTCTTGGAACACGCATACTTACCTAATGCCACACACTAGGACTGTCAGAAATACCTAAGTAAACCTTTAGTATCGGCTGAGTCTTTTAGGTAATTTAGTGATACGTGAACTTCTAAAGAGTTGACTAATAATGGTCCTATAGAAGTAAGATTCATACTGTTTTTATCAGTAGTAGAAGAGTGAGTTTTACTTCGTATACCTATAGATACGAATGAAGTTTGAACAACAATACAACACTATACAATATACCTATATACCTACAGTTTTCTTAACCTTTGGTTATTTTTAGACTCCATGCCCATTCAAGTAATTTTAAAATTGGTTATAACCACCTTAAGTACTTTATCTGAACAAACTATTTCAACCTTGATGTGTATGTACCTAAGTATAAACCGACTATGTTACAAGCTATTGTACATTTCGCACTCACTTGCTAATAGATCCACATTTACTCAGCTACACCTAATCATCACACTTGAGGCATTCTGTGATAAAGTGCCAACATTAATATTGCCGCAAAATTGTTATTATACTTATGCAAAGATACGGAAATAATCATCGGAAGGACGTATAGTTTTTTTTTTCAATGTTAAGTAGGTATTGGTTCTACACGGACTCTTGGCCCTTGTCATACAAGTTTTCAAGACGTATAGTTCGAACTGCGACTAACGGGTCTATAGTGTTCTCGAAAAACTGAATAGGTACCAACGTAAATAGGGAAAGTCCTTTTAACACTAACATTTTAGACAGATTTTTTTGGTTTTTTACTTACCTAGGAGTAAGGGATGTCCTAATTCTAACATTTAAGTAAAAGGTCTTAGCCATTGTTTAACTAACTCATAATATATGACCTCAGGTGCCCGATGGAGATAACACACAGGACAATGAGAGAAAGGGGAATGTCACATACGGCATCGACGACATACCGCCCTGGTACCTCTGCATCTTCATGGCTTTGCAGGTTCGTAGTTTAATAAGGAAATAATTCATAGGAGGAGCCGAGGAGGACACTGTTTCATGCTTTTTCATACAGCTTACTTTGTAAAGCAAGCTTTAATTACACGGTACAGTCGGTACACCGTGTCTTGATTGAGATTGAGATATCTACTTACCTACATAATATTTTACCTACATACGTAGGTAAATATTTACTGGATAATAAATTAACGTTCTAACAGTTAATTGCATTGAATTGCTTAATAATATAAGTATGTAAGTACCTACTTAAATAAACTTTGACTGACGTACAATAAAGTCTGGTACAGCATCATGCCACGAGCAATTAATGAATGTTTTTGATTCAGTTATCTGTATTGATAAAGACAAAAGCAAAATGAGGTTTGTGCGGCCATGTTTGCGCCGGACAGGGCCGCCCGCGGCGCTGTGGTCGCCCGTGCAATTACCTACTCGTACCTGATGTAGCCCTGGTAGCGAAGTTTCGTTTAAACATTTAATTTCAATTTTGAGGCAAAATTTAATGGGGAAATGTTTTCATCGTGTTTGTACATTATTATATCATCTATACAGATACTGTTTGAAGTTACCTAGATGATAGTAGCTGTCGCGGAGAACCTAACGGGTTACCGGGGCTCCGGCTCGACGTGCAGGAGAAGGAACGGGGTGGTTTTTAGTCAGTAAGAGTCTGACACTCCCTCCCGCCTCACCTAGGCGGGAGCAGTCATTCGATGATTTTCCCACCTTAAAAAAAAAGATGATAGTAGCTTCCAACCAGCCACTCTAGAAGTAGGCCTGTGTGCAGTAGGTACTTAGACTATGGGTAGGTACTGTTTACTATTTACTAACATAATGCTCTATTTTCCAGCACTACCTGACAATGATTGGCGCAATAGTGGCTATCCCATTCATCCTGTGTCCGGCGCTGTGCATGTCGGAGACTGACCCCGACCGCTCCAACATCATATCCACTATGATATTTGTTACTGGTTCGTAACTATTGGTGCTTTACGCTTCCGACTAACATAACCGCAAAAACACCTTTACTCAAACAACTTAAAACGAAAAGATGAACTTAGGTACTATTGATATTCATCTAGGTACATATCTTCTCACTGCATTCAAGTATCCGAGTGCCAATGTGCTCTAAGTAGGGTAATGTAAAATGCAGCATAAATTTCACCCAATCTATCAGTTCAGTTGCGTGGGTGTTTAAGTTCATACCCTGGGGTTTGGTGTTTTCAGTGTACTAGCACTACATAAGTTGTTGTAGTTAGGTAATTTGGGTAAGGTTATATATTTTCATGATTAAGTGTTAGTCGAGGAATGAGGGTTACATAATGGACATTATAGCTTCAATTTTGAGAGAGCCATGCTTCAGCACGAATGGGCCGGCTTGACCGAAGTGATACCACGACCTCACAGAAAACCGACGTGGAACAAAGCTAACGTTGTGTTTCGTTGTGTGAGGTTACCGGATGAGAAAGGACCCCCCTACCAAATCTCTTCAATCCCCGAATCCTCAATAATTCTAAAATTCCTAATTCCCAAAAGGCCGGTAACGCACTGGTAACGCCTCTAGTATTTCAGGTGACCATGGGCGACGATTGCTTACCATCAGTGACCATCTGCTCGTTTACCAGCTTATCCCATAAAAAAGTTTAAAGATGGTGTGTTAGTATGAGTATTAATCTTCCTTCGGTACTGTATTTTAGAAACAGATTTGTGTTCGTCTTTCTCCATAATACAGATCTACAATTTAGGGCGAGCACTTAGCCACGGTAAAAAATGATAATATTACCGTGACATAGCTTTGATAACAGGTAGACTATTAACTTTGAAAGTGCTCATAACTAATTTCTTAATAACAATTTGCAAGCACTATATTGATGATACAATGATCTTGCTCTTGAAATTAATGCAGTTCCCAATGATAAGACAGTGATAACAGAAATGGGTATCAGCCGTATCAGGTGCATTAATACTAAGCAATTGCACTTTATGAGGCTATAAACTGTCTGTTGGCACAACAACGTCATTGTATTTATGAACAAGGAAGTTAACGCTACTACGTAGATACAACTAGATTAATACTTAGACATAACATAACGAATCGGTAATGTTTTATTTGACTACTAATTTTATATAGGTATCTACAAGGTCCTACATTTTATTTACGTAGTTATTTAGTTATCGTTATTGAACACTGCTGACTGAATTACATAACAACATAACATCACGCCTTTTATCCCCGAAGGGGTAGGCAGAGCTGCATATTACGGCACTTAATGCTACTGTACCTCTACAATGTACCAACAATATAACACCCACTTCTCACTATTTATAAGTCCCATGTAATACGGGGTGAGCCTATTGTCATTTGTCATATACCTACCGGGCACAATTTCAGACTCTGTTCTACTACTGAGATTTTTGTTAAAAAGTAATGCTTTCCTCGACCCGGGAATCGAACCCGACACTCCTTGCCCGGCAGTCCACTCGGCCAACGAGGCAGTCTGAATAAATTAAACCTACATCCTTATTTACGCATAGTTGCTTTCATAATTATCAGTTTTATTACAATCCATAAAACTCTCATTAAGCATCAGAATCACCGAATCTATACCGATTTATCAAAGTACTCAAAATCCTCCTTCCCTGGTTACTACAAGCTCAGCACATGAAATCAGGAAAAACTGTACCTTTATTGTTGGGAATTCAGTTCAATGCGAGCGCCGTACTAACAATATTTCGCAGAACAATGGACACGCAATCAGGGTGTAATTTGAAACGATTTGTTTCAAACTCTGAACTGATTGCGCATCCATTTCTATAGAGCTGGTAGATATGGCCAGAGAATTTCAAATTACAACTCAAGCATCATCTGGAAAACTTATTATCTAAATGTTTATTTTTGCTGCGACTTTTCAGCGGCTGTAACCCTCAAGCAAAAAAAGACCTTTTACAAAATACTAAATATCATTAAATTAAGTAAAATTGCGGGTTACTCACGTGAATATACTGAGAAAAGCTCTACTAGTTTCGAACCACAGAGGGGTTCTTCCTCATGAGCAGCATGCGCGGTCGCGGCGACGTCGAGTGAGCTGCGCGACGTTTTACTTAATTATATACTATAATTTAGTATGTCTGACGATAGTTATTACAAAAACAAAATACTAAATATCATGTTAGAAATCATCAAAATTCTGTCATTTTTGTAACCTTTACACGACACACGAATGGAATTTGATATCTCTATTCGGCTTTAGCGCTTACATCACTTGAACAATGAAGCAATCGTAAACAATGACAATTCTGAAACATATTACAAGTTCAACGAATGCAAAAATTAATTAAAAACACTGCTACATTTCTCCGCGACTCCGAGCTCGTCCATATAACCCGCTAAGAACGCCTGCGGTGAATGTAATAGCAACACGCGGTCGGATAGAAGTTGTTTGCTCTTGCGGTATAAGTCATTAAGAACGATGTTACATTTTAGTCAACGACAGAATTTTTATCTCTTATTCTGTACTTCTGTAGTATATTTCACTGGGTTTATTATTGTAGTTCGACAGAAATTATCGAAGTTTATATAGTTATGTAGGAACATTTTTATGACGCTATAATAAAATGAAGCACTCAGCTGCAGAGCTACTGTAAGTAACTGAAAGTTGAAATGTATTTAATTTTCTAAAGATTTATTTACAACACTCGAAATGTCACATTCCACATAAAACTAAATTAAAGAACTAAGTTTTGTGAGCTAATTATGTATTTTATAATAGAAAAATCGTTAAAACACAGTTTCAAAACTATGCAAAAAGATAATCAAGCTTTGGAGATGCTGGGATTTGAACCCAGGACTTTCAGCATGCGAAGCAGACACTCTACCACTGAGTTACATCCCCTGTTATGTAGCAAGTCGTAAATAGTGATCGGTACATACATAATGTAAGTGCATTGGTAGGTATCTGTTTAGTATTCAGCCAATAACTTTCACCGCTACCGCCACGAGCGAGGTGAACTTGTTAGCAATTGATACGTTATATATTTTGCGCACCTACCGGCATAATTATACAACTACTTTCGAGTTTAGAACGTTTCAATTTTGTAGTACTATTTTTGTTTTACCTAATCTAAATAACTATAATCTAAAAAGATAACTTTGTCCTAATGATGGTAGTGTTTATAGTAAGCTAAATTTTTCTAAATACCCACTAATTACCTAATTTACAATGTCCTATCTACAATTATTTCTTGTTCAGGGCTAATAACATGGCTACAAGCGACTTTTGGCTGCCGACTGCCCATCGTCCAAGGTGGGACCATCTCCTTCTTGGTGCCTACCCTGGCCATCTTGAACCTGCCGATTTGGCAGTGTCCTCCGGCTGAGGAGATAAACAGCATGACGGACGAGGAGCAGAAAAAGGTCTGGATGAGCAGGATGTGTGAGCTATCTGGAGCTATTGCCGTGTCAGCGCTGTTCCAGGTGTTTCTGGGTGAGTTTGGAAGTAGAATATAATTTCATCACGACTTTTTCTTTCATGTTTCGTCATTTCCTTGAAATAGTATGTAATCACTAAACATACTCAATGTAACACCCTCTTTTAGCTAGTTATGCCGATGCGTTAGGTACTTACATTTTTCCAAGGCTAACTTGAGTCTCACGGCGACGGTACACGCACCGTCAGCGCTGATCTTCGAGATATATGAACTCGATGGTTAGCACTGACGCCACTGACCACCGTTCGCGAAGATAGCAACGCGTCATTCAAAAACGCTTCTTAGAAGTTCATATATCTCATCCATTAGCGCTGACTTTACGTGTGCCGTCAGCGTCAGACTATAACCAGCTTTAACCGGTACTGAACACAAATTCAGCACTGCATGAATTTTCAACCACAGCATCAACAAGCTCAGTCTGGTTCATTGTGTCAACTAACTCAATAATTGAAGTTTTAAGAAATTCCGGGGCTGTAAAGAAAGTGTGGATTATGAATAGCATACAGATTTGTGTGTGCCATATAATTCTCATACAGTACATAACAATAAGCCACAGTATGTTGCCCACTTGCCCCGTAATACAATTGTGACCCAAACAAGAATTTAATTAAACCGAAGCGGACAGTTTTTGCTAACAAAGTAATAAACTAATAGGCTGTTCCGGGAGACGGAGCAAAGAGTTCCTGCGTCGCATCATTCGGTGCCATGGAGAATGGAGGGTAGGAGTACCATTTGAAAAGTGCCCTGTGCCCATATTTAACCTTCTGAGTACCGTCATTATAGACCCAATTAAAGAGCAATAGGTGTGCGGACACCGGTGTCTTCGCGGTGTTTGACAGTTAAAACATTAAATAATGTGGAGCTAAGTCCTGTCTACCTACTGTTATAACCTAATATCTAGTTGAACCGCTTGAATGTACCGATATGAGACACAATAGAAAATACACTGTGTCTCGCGTGGATCCACGTTTAGACACACGACGGGATAAATTACTCTGAATGTAAAATCAAAACGGAATTTACTTTGCTTTTGCAATAGCACTACTGTGCCACCTATTTTTTTATGGGAAAAGCCCGCCCCAGCCTCCCTAAATCATTGCAACTCCTGTAAGCCAGGATCTACAGTACATACAACCATGAAAACACCGTAACACTGTAGTCCGGCGCGTCTCAGGGATATGACTGACTGCAACGAAATAATTCATCACCTATTTACTTAGTAATATTAAATATATAATTTTTTTACAGAATGTATCCTCCTTACCTCTATACTCCATGGACAGTAACTAAATAATGCCGCCATGTTGGCATGTTCCCGCGCAAAACAAACTGCGGCCACTGTGAGCGTTGCTTTGATGTAAAACTTTTACTTTTTAAAAGCGCACTCTCATTTACCTTTGCGTAGTTTTCAAAGAAACTTTGTAAGGCACTTTTCATTTTCCCCATCGAGTAAGTAGGTAATAAAGTAGTTGATAGAAATAGTTTCTTGTAAGTCATTGCTTGTTTATAGTTATTTCTTAGTGGGAACTCTTTACTTAGTGTTAGTGCACGCTTTTGTGCAGCTTGTTATAGTAAAATGAAATTAAGTTGTTATCAAGTATAGTATAGCAAAATGTAATTGCGTTTCTCGACTTCTAAATTCGGCGTTTGTGTGATAAATTGCAAAAATATACTGCTGCTGCTACCAAATCTACTTGCCGTGTATCCCTAAGTTGATGAAAGGATATTTCATGAAACTAAAGATCAGATGTTATTATGATCTCTAAACACAATTAATTATGTTCCATATTCTGGCTCATAATATTAATTTCACATGGATTTCTTCTAAGCACTACATACTAAGAATAGTAATATTTCTATCTATGTCAAGTCTTGTAACTGTCTCTCTAGTCTTGAGATTCTAAGTCTGGCTTACAAGATGCTAGATCAATCTGATGACCTAGATTGTGGACGACCTATTTCCAATGCTGTTAAGGTTTCATATTGCAGTGCTCGTTCCATGCAATCTTGATATAATCGATCTATGACGTGGGGTAACATCAAAGCGATTAGGGGATGAAGTATGAAGAACGGACTAAGTTTACATCGTTGAGGTTGTTCATACAGGTCTTTACTGTATTTTTTGTAACATCTGCAATTTAGGTTATTAATAGCTATTGATTTTGATGCTCGGTTAATATGTAAATTTTCAAGTTACTATGTCGACCCGAATATTAAGGAGATGAAAACACCAGAAAGTGAAGTTTATAAGTTAGCTACAATAATATTGTCTTTAACTCGTTGAATGTTAATGGCGGGAGAAGCCATTCGATAACGTTCCCCATTAAAAAAGTGTCTAGTGATTAGGTATTGTAAAATTTTCTGTTTATTGGTGGAAATTCTTTTACACTTTTCGAGTTTATGAAAAAACAAACAGAAAATGTTTATTACAATAGGTTTGTGGTGAATTAAGCACATGTTTCAATATCCAGGTTACTTCGGCGTGATAGGTTCGTTGCTGCGCTTCGTGACGCCCCTGACTATAGCCCCCACAGTGGCGCTGGTGGGGCTGACGCTGTTCGAGCATGCAGCCGAGGCAGCTTCTCAACAGTGGGGGATTGCAGCCGGGTAAGTCTGTGTCAGTTGATTGGCTTGCTTTATGGTGTGTTTAGTTATTTTATCAAACTGCAATCTTACTGCAATGCATGTTTATGTTTTCACGGTTGGTATTAGATGGTGACAGGTTGATGGTACTATTATAGTACTTAGATATAATGTTTGAACTGGCTTGAATGATAAAAGTTGAATTTTTTTTGGAATTTTTTACATGTTTAGGACGGGTTCAATAATGCCTGATCGAGTTGTAGTGAGCTTAACTCACGCATATTTTAATTTAATTCGTAATACTGTTTATTTTCATAAAAAATGGGTAATGAATGTTATACGCTAGTTTCTAGACGGAACAATAACACAAATTGACGAAAAATAGCATTCTTATGAAGTTAATTAACAACAATAATATTGTTGTGTAGGTTGTATGACACACATTTTCATTCACAAAAAGCTCATCAAAGGCAAAGTCACAGAGGCAATCTCCACCTCAATTACATAATACGTATAATTTCCAAATTAAGCCGGATGTGGGTTGCAAGGGTGGCAATCTGACAAGAAAACATCAATTTGTTATCAACGTCACGAAGTCGGCGCAATTTCTTAAAGAGGTTACTGAGACAAACTGGACTATTTGAATAGATAAGAATGACATCAGACTGAGTCGTTAATCGAGTGCCTGAAAGTAGACTGCTGAGTCAGAGGTCTTGAGTTTAACTCGTCGAGTACCGGTTTTATAGACACAATTAAAGAACAATAGGTCGCGGTCACCGGTGACCGCTTGGTGTTTGACAGTATAATCCTCAGTTCGAGCAAAGCAAAATAGGAGTTGTTTTGAGTTTCAAATATTTCTTAGCAATTGAATTGAAATTTTTGGCACTTTTATGGGTTGAAAATACAAAACATTCACCGCATTCGGAATCGAATTACATATTTACAACGAATACATCAGTTAATTTTCATCTCACCGTACATGCTTAAAATGATTAAAGAAGGCAAAATATTCATTGCGTTCTAATATCTATTGAGAAAGCTTTTACGCGTACGGTTTTCTTAATTACCTTCGCTTAAATTAATTAGTTAGGAAACCAATTACATAGGGGATATGTATGTGTGAGAGTTAGAATGTGTGTCAGGTAGGATTCGCGAAATGTTTGTACCAGGATCGCAGAGCACGCAGAATGTCAAAGGTGAACGTACGTACAGGCTCCATCGATTTGTATTGCTATTGCTAGTTATCACTGCCCGGCCGATATAGGACGATGTGTTCTACAACTTGTTGAGTGATAAGTTGAGCGAAATCTCAGTTATTGAGAATTGGTTTGCTTAAAATCTTGTTTGTTTGAGTGCTTTTTCCCGTACCTAAATTTTCAAATAGATACTACATGGCTTCGCAATAGTTATACGCAAATAAAAAATAGTTTCAAAGCATTAGAAACCATTACGGAGTTTGAAAGATTTTTATCAATATTATAAATATACCACGGCTAAAGTTCTTTTAAAATACCAGGATAGCATGAGTACGACGTTATACTCTTATGAAGTAAACCAACTTATGAAAGGGCTGCACGAGGAGACTCGACTAATAGATTATCCGGACAAGGCGATCAGGGGCGAGCCGGTCTGGCTAACCCTATTACGTCCACGCTAATGGAAAACTTACTATATTTCAAGATACTAGAGTATAATATTCAATACACATTTTTATGTGATGACTCTAACAACAGCCTGACAGTACCCATCCTTGTTTCAGTTTATTTATTTCTTAAAAATGAAAATCATTACTTTGAAGAAGACCCTCTAGCCTCATGTCAGGAAAATTTTTATTTATGGAATAAGAAGAAAATCAAGTCTCTATTGATTTTAGCAATTTTGGTTATGTGGACTGAATAATGGCCATAGGAAAACATGAACATGTTTTTACGTCTTCTCACAAACAGAGAAATTTATCGATCGACTTCTCCCGCCTCGGTGAGGCGGGAGGGAGTGTCAGGTACTTACTGACTAAAAAATACCCCGTTCCTACTCCTGCACTTCGATCCGAAGCCCCGGTAACCCGTTAAGTTCTCCGCGGCATCTGTAAAGGATGTCCTCTCATTCTCTGAAGGTTGGGATTCATAACGAGGTGATCCGCCAGAGAACTAAAGTTACCGACGTAGCCCAAAGGATTAACACGCTGAAATGGGAGTGGGCCGGTCACATTTATCGAAGAACCGATGACCGTTGTAGACGTGTTCTGGAGACAGCGTCTAGGCAAACGTAGTGTAGAGCGCCCTCCAGCTAGGTGGAGTGAGAAAGTGGCTGGTAGTGCTTGGATGCGTAGAGCTGAAGTCCGAGCTCAGTGGCGTGCCATTGGAGAGGTCTACGTCCAGCAATGGACGAGAATAAGCTGTTGATGATGATACCCACTCATCTTTCCATTAAACAATTCTTATTCGTCAGTTACTCGTGTGGTTTCTTAACACAGCTCTCCCTAATGAATACTTAATAGTTACATAGAATAATTTCCTCTACTGAATACTTATTAAGTTATTGTTTTCCGGTCAGTAACTGGGCGTTACAAAGCCCACTTGTTGATACACGCACACTTAACTTCGAGCCTTTGTGACTTAGTAGTTTGAGCAAAGTTTCCACGGGTTATAAATGAAAGGCTTGAATTTCCTTTGTGATTTGTTGCGATAAGCTCGTTTAGTTTGTTGACAGGGATTATTTATTAAAGACAAATAATTTTTCTTTAAGATGGCAAACAAGTTTATTGAAAGGATGGAATGCAGTAAAATAAATGTTTGAATGAAGGGACAGCAATATAATGTGATCCTAAGGTGATAGATAAATGGTCACTTTGTTTACAAAACATGCTTAACTCATCTAAATAACTGCTAATAATACCAATTAAGTAACATTGCTTACAAATTTTGCTTGAATACACGTTTTCTTTGCTTCGGATACCAAAAAATATGAAAATCTTTTTCCAATTTCTCAATTCTTCCATATCCTGCCAAAATGTCTTTGTTCGCGCTTCCGGTACCAGGATATCATAAATGTGAACACGTAGGTTGAACGAGGTGAACGGTCGTCCTAGCAACCGGGTCGCCGGCCTCTCCCGGCTGCAACAAGTGCGCTCTATTGATTTCATCTGCATACAACTTCGGCCACTGTGTTGTATTTCACGTAGCAGTAAAATATTTAAAACCTTACGTTGCTTAATAAAGTAACCACACCAGAGCATAAAACACCCAAACTCATTTCGAGGAAATAGTTGTTCTTTTGGTCCGTTCTTCCAAAAAATATTATTTTAAATTTAAGATTTAATTAAAATAACACCCTTTGTACCTGTTTAAAAAAACAAATAAAGAATTTAATTTTTACGCACTATATCTGTATCAAAAAGTTGTTAAGCAGTCTGAGCTGTACGCATGTTGCGTTTTAGAATACTTTCTACCGCTTCTGCGGTCCTGGTACTGTGCGTTAGGTTTTTTTTGCCCACACTGAAATGAAAATCACAGAGAGAGATTGGGACTTGGAAACAGACACACACTGAAGTAATATTGAATCAATATCAGTCAAACATCAATCAAATTAACTTTTTCGATCAAAACTTCTCGTTTACTTTTGATTTGATTTTAAGTAATACGGTTCTTCGTTCATCTCGATATAAAATCTAAGAAATCAAAACATGTCAACGTCCGAGCGTGTAACTGGCTCACTACAGATTTAACAGAATACTCTATACTCTCTGGAGACAGTCATACTCTAGTCATAGCAATGAAATTACACTGCTGCAAAGGACTTCAAAATGTAGCATTTAGCTAGGACCAATGTTCTATGTCATGCTAGAACGAGTGTAGCAATTCTTCTATACAATTTGACAATTTGCATGAATTTCCAGCAAGAATATACGCTTTATTTGTCCAAATATCAAAAACCTTAAACTAGGTCAAAGTTCGTAGTAATATAATTTGAGTCATGTCATTAAATTTATACGAAGCACGAGTTATTTGCCATCCAATATGTAACTAATTAAGTATCGCGACGGTATTGACTCGGCAACGTTATCAGTTAATTAGCACCATAATGGACTAGCTTTTGGCAGGATAATAACGGTTTTATGTGCTATTTCTAGATACAAATTAGTGCCAGACTAGTGTACTTAACGATGTTCGACAAAAATTGGTTAGTGTTCCTTTCTGTGATTTGATCATGGTTTTATGAGTATTGATTTCGACTGATGGAGCTTGGAATTATGCCCTACGACTCAACAATGGAATTCCTTTTACTTGGGATTCGTACTTACATACTGAAAAGTGAATGTATCTATAAAAGTTATTATTTATTTAAGTTACATGCGTTCAGACGCCATGTCAGAACTAAGCAATCCTCTTAATTTATAATTCAAGAAGATTATGATCTAAAGTCCTTTGGTAAATGTAATATTACTTTAGAATGGAAAAGCGAACGCTTTGCATAGAAAATGTATGAAAGCAGAGTGCATTAACCCCGCAGCTTGTGCATCTACCTCGACTAAGTGTAGTATAATTATTTATATTCCATTTCAACACATTTTAATTTTTAACTACATAGTATGAAGCGCTCCCAAAGATGAATATAATTATATTATTAACACTGATAGCTTCACAGGCTATGTAACCAGAGGTACAACATTCATCTTGTCCTACACTCGAAGAAGTAATTAATAATTATATATTCTTGCGATTATATTTCCATATCATTACCTTGTGGCGAATGGCTTAGCATAGAGTCAAGGTTCGGAAAATATATCAAGTCATTCCACACTTTTTTCTAAACGTTTTCACACAAATTTAACCTGAATAGAATAACCGAAAATTAATACAGCAATTTACAAGCCCTGTCAGTATCATGTTATCAATAGCTCCTGAAACTTCTGCTCTCCTGGTACTTCCCTTCGAGTAATTCGAGCGAGTTCATTACGGATTACCTAGCCGGTTCCTTTGATCTTCGCCGTGTAATCGCCTCCATTTTGTAATTAAACGCACTTTACAGGCAACTCTTTTAACATGGGTTTGATTTTAAACCGTATCTTAAGGAGTCAAGGTTGGATTTCTAAATCAAAGTTAGTTGTTGTTATTGAAAGGAGGTAATCAGATAGATAATTAAGTTTCTCATCCTTTGCTAGGTTTCTTGTTTTATTGTTTTTAGTGTTGTCTTCTTTGATAAGTAAATGTTTTGTTTATTTAGTGTAAAACCTTATTTTTTGTATTTTCATTTAGACCAGTACCCATGATGAACTTCTTACGTTTTCATATCTTTTCTATAGAAGAGATCCAGTGAATTAGACAATAGTCTACCCACACAACACAAATGTTACGATGGCACTTAGCTTGAAAAATTCAGACAAAATAATCAACAAAACTAGAACAATCCGGTTCAACAAATTGTATAAAACGTCTGACGCATTTATTGATCAAATTGAAAGCTGATTCATTTAAGGTTGCGCTAATTTTTACCGACTTCAAAAAAAGGAGGAGGTACTATGTTCGGCTGATTGTTTTTTTTTTTTTTTTTTTTGTTTGTTCGCGCAGTACTCCGCCGTTTGTGGACCGATTTCGAAAATTTTTGTTTTGTTTCAAAGGGTATACTCCCGAGATGGTCCCATTTCCATGAAGTCAGGACCTGATGATGAGATCCTAGGGAAACCGAGGGGAACTTTCGAAAATTCTATGGAGGAGTAATGCGTCTATTATGTTTTTCAATTACCATTTTTAAACACTACAATTTCATATGGGTTTGGAGTCGACCTGATGATGGAGTCGACAGACAGTCGAGGGAACTCCTCAGTGGTTTATATTAACTACCTTGTGTTTGGGCATGATTAATTTGTATTGATGAGGACTTTACACCTAGATACAGTGGGGTTGTCATTAAGGGTCTGATGATGAAGAAGTGTAATTGGTAAGGGAACTCCTCAACGGTATACAGTAACTACCTTGTGTTTGGGCTTGTATAATTTGTATTGATTAGAACTTTGCACCTATATATATTATAAGTAACAAAACGGGTATATGTAGCGTTACACTGAAAATGATAAAATAATAAAATAAAAACTGCGTTTAAAAAACCGACTTCAAAAAACCAAAAACCAAAAACTAATAACAAACAAAAAGTCAAATCTAAAAAGCAAAAAATAACTATTATTAGTACTGATAGGTTACCCCCCCACTGATAGGTTAGAAGTCGGTGCCATGAGCTCATATCATAATGATATAACTAATGTCCACAAAATTGTGAATAAGGTACCTATTAAGGTTTTAATGAATAATTTTGTATTGAACTTATGGCACCGACTTCTTACCTATCAGTGGGGGGGTAACCTATCAGTACTAATAATAGTTATTTTTTGCTTTTTAGATTTGACTTTTTGTTTGTTATTAGTTTTTGGTTTTTGGTTTTTTGAAGTCGGTTTTTTAAACGCAGTTTTTATTTTATTCTTTTTTCGCCCACTCGATTGAAATCGCAATGGATTTGGCGGGAACTACGGTTTGTGAACAAAAAATGCAATATGGCGGCCTGTTCTCTGATCGTAATATGATTAAGGGAAAAAATGAGATGCTTCGCTCGGCAAGCGGGGCATGATATTATATTTTAGAGACGCAAGGAGCTGCAGCTGAGCTTGTTAACAAGCTGGTAAGCTTGTTGCGATCGATCTAGAGATAAAACATTCCTGCAACATTGGATTTTTGTGTCCTAGATAGCTATATGCAGATAATTTGAAAGACAGAACAAGCTCAGAACGACGAGGAATTCGATAAGTTAATTCAAAACAAATACGATTGATTTACAATAAAATAATAAGTGTGAACATAAATTCGCTTTGTATTTAATTTGAACATTTTTCTAACTAAACATTTAGGTATCTAGTTCCTACCTAACTATTTGATAGTCAAACTGTATAATATGCTTAAATGTCAAACTAAGTGATAGAAGTAATTTACACTAAAAGTCCGTAATGAGACTGTGTGGGGAAGCTCATACCTCGACTACATCCACTAGAGATATTGGAGTGGGTGTTCATTGGTGCAACGCTCGCGATCCGGATTATGCAAGCACTGCTTTGTTCGCGCAAACAATAGTTCCCGCTCCCGCCACAAAGTCCCTACCTACCAACATTCAACATGGCGGCGGAATTCGATTTTTGATTTTTAAACATTCTGCCGTTGAATATTTAACGGCATCTGAATTAGTTGCCTTTGGTATGAGTTTTGACTGCAATGTGATTTAAAATTTTACTGAAAGGTAGGCTGAATGTTTGCTTATTACCTATTCGCTATAATTCGTCATGAGTCCGTTGTAATCATATTTTTCTGACTCATTCAGGAATACAATATAATTCTGTTATAAACTTTTATTTTACAAAACAGGTTTCTTTCTAATAATTTACACCCGTAAACGAATCCTAACCGCACCCTCTCTTACAAACAGATTTAAAATTTAATTTCATTCATCGGAACAATGGAATGGAGATGGCGTGAACGATGCAATCTTGTGATTGGAAATATTTGCCTTGACAGTTCCGACGCGGGGGCGGCAGCGCCGGGAATATTCTATGTGCGTACTGGATCCGAATAACCGCAGTTATTGAGGAAAACTGGGTTTTAGTATTGGGAAAAACAAAAACGTTACAAATTCCTTGACTAAAATAAACTCATTTGAAACGGTGGGCATGGACTATTCTATCTGTTTATAACCTTAATTGTTTTGTACGTACTTATTATTTATTTATCATTAAATCACACATGTATAATTTAAGCCCCACAAAACCGTTGCAATGGTTTGACTGTGGGAAATACGGTGTTTTTATTATGTTGTTGGTAACGAAACAAAGCATAAAATATTACCATTCAAATAGAAAAATAAGGCACAATTCTCCACCCAACCCGTCGTTCTAATCAATGATATTACGTGGAAACCTACAAAGATATCAATGCTCACATCTGTTCGAGTTTCATCTATAGGCTTACGTTAACAATACGAGAGATGAATGTCGTTTAGAATAGAGAAGCAGATGGGTGTTCACAAAACGTAGACTTGTCTAATCTCTTCGCTTGAGTGCCAGCGACGCGTTCAAACGAAATCTTTTCTTAAACTCCATCAAAGGAATGCTCTGAATAAAATTCTAGATAGTTACTCGTACATACAATTTCAATGTAATATCGTTATTTTTTTAATATAGCTCCTGTAAGCTCGTTGAGTCACGTTCCTGTAAGGCGTGAAAGCCAGCCTTTGCGAGGTCTCCTTGAGTCCTATTGAGCTATCGATATTTCTTTGAATAAATTACTTTGTGTAGGTATTTGACGACTGTCTCGGTTACTGAGAGATTTCAATCCAAGATCTTTGGATTGAATTTCTAAGAATTGTTAATAATATCAAATGATAAAAGAAATTATGTCAACCAGCTTATCAATTAGTCAGTAACTCACAATAACCATTAACTTTAACCTGTTGCAGGACATTCACGCTGTTGACAATATTTTCTCAGTGTATGACTAATGTCAGCATACCGACCCTTGCGTGGACGAGGGACAAAGGGATCACTATTGTTTGGTTTCCACTCTTTAAGCTGTTTCCGGTAAGAATATAGACTGATTGCTTTAACTGACTCCAATACTGCAATTATGAATCTATTATGTATATTTTAAGGTAAAATTACTTTACTGAATTAGTTCATTTGTGTTGAAACTTTCAATAACAAAATAGAGTGTCAAGAATGTCTTCTTAGAAACTTTGTTATTTACCAAAGTTTGTAAATATCGATACATTCATATTTCCTAGTATCGTTAGTCTAATATTTGTATATTCCTGTTCGTAGGTATTGCTAACAATAGTAATAATGTGGGCGCTCTGTGCCATACTGACTGTGACGGGCGTGTTCCCGCCGGAGCACTCAGCGAGGACTGATGTCAAGCTGAACATCATTGAGGATGCACCCTGGTTTCGGGTGCCTTACCCTGGTATGACAGACATGTTTTTTGTGGAAAGCTTCATAATATACTTAGTATTATATATATTATAGGTCAATATTCATGAAATATCTATGCGTTGGAACTGCTGGGTTTTTTTTTATAGCATAAGCCGGTATACGAGCAGACGGATCACCTGATGGTAAGCAATCGGCGCTGCCCATGGACACCCAAAACACCAAGGCGTTACAAGTGCGTTACCGGCCTTCTGGGAATTGGGAATTTGAGGATTGTGGAGGATTCGTGGGGTGTTGGAAGTCTTGGACGGAAACTGGATTAATAATTGAATGAACTCTGTATTCGAAGATACTTTTGTGTGAATTATTTTTGTAATTGAAAGCATTATAGATAACGATAGATAGAGTACAAAAATGGTGGTGCTTTTCTATGTAGGTCAATGGGGAGTACCAACAGTGAGTGTGGCAGGAGTGCTGGGCATGTTAGCTGGAGTGCTCGCCTGCACGGTGGAGTCCATCAGCTACTACCCCACTACGGCCAGGATGTGCGGTCAGTACAACAACTGCAATATTACAATTAATATTTAGTTGCATAGCCGTTATATTGTCATTAACGGCAATCAATAATAATAATCCAACCGATTTGATGATTGTCAATTCAGTCGTAAATTGGTAAAAACAATTTATCTGTTTCTATTTATACATATAATAAAATCGTAGAAAGGTCAAAACACATATTATCACGCTATCACCTATGGGGGAGGAGCTGTGAAGAACTATCCAAAGTTACTATACCACGCGGACGAAATCGCGGGCATCTACTAATAAAAAATAATTAAAGAATAATTACTAAAACTTTTGTCGAAACGAGTTTCAGATACGAGGTAGTCAACAAAATGTCACAAACAATAGGAAACTTAGATCTTTTAAAGTGTTTCTGGTTACTGACTTTCTTACCTGTACAGCGGCTCCCCCACCTCCCCTGCACGCCATCAACCGAGGTTTGGGCACTGAGGGCCTGGGCACAGTGCTGGCCGGACTCTGGGGCTCTGGGAATGGAACCAACACCTTCGGGGAGAACGTGGGGGCCATTGGAGTCACTAAGGTTATTGTTATTTTTAGGACTAAACTATCAGCTTTCATTTTTTCATTGAAGTGAGATTTCAGTAAGACTTTTTTAAATTATTACGTCGCATTGGAAATTCGCTTTTATTTTTCAAAATTTAAGAACTTTTTTCAATTAATTAGGACTTAGGAGACAAATGTTAATATACCTATTATGTTATTAAGACTGCCTCGTTGGCCGAGTGATCGCAAGTACGACTGCAAGGGGTCTCGGGTTCGATTCCCGGGTCGGGCAAAGTATTACTGGGTTTTAAAAAAATCTTAGTAGTAGCACGGAGTCTGGTATTGTGCCCGGTATATGGCAATAGGCTCACCCCCTATTACATGGGACTCATAACATAATTAGTGAAAAGTGGGTTTACATTGTACAGTGGCATAATGTGCACCTCTGCCTACGCCTTCGGGGATTAAAAGCGCGATGTTATGTTATGTCATGTTATTAATAAAAGGTATGCTGACGAGAGCTTCTAAATTGTAAGAACATGGTCAATGTAAACACAATACTTGTACATTGGTATAACATGATTGCAATTCAGAATATTACATGAGACGTTCTATCTGCTTGTAAATTGCCAATTCCAAGTTGTACCTAACATCTATAGTACGATAATCGCTTCCTAAGTGCATTGTAAACTCCATTTTGTGACCACTCTATCTAGGTACAATGTCCCTTGATTACGGTGTGATAACCGCAGATAAGCCTGCATTTGTTATTTTATGTTAATTTTCCGGTATGGAGTGCAAATGACGGGTTCTGTAGACAATGTTACCCCTTCGATTTTGTGATGACATGACCAAACCACTCGACATTTTGTATAGCACACGTAACCTTGTATTATCATCAATGTTTTTGGAATAACTCTTGGACCCCTAGTTGGCCGAGTGGTCGCAAGTGCGACTGCCGAGCAAGTGGTCTGGGATTCGATTCCTAGGTCGGGCAAAGTATTACTATTGGGTTTGTTAAAAATTCTCAATAGTAGCACGGAGTCTGGAATTGTGCCCGGTATATGGCAATAGGCTTACCCCTTATTACATGGGACTCATAACATAATTAATGAAAAGTGGGTGTTACATTGTACAGTGGCATAATGTACACGACTGTCTACCTCTTCTGGGATAAAAGGCGCGATGTTATGTTCTGTTATTAAAAAAAAGATTTGCTAACAAGAGCTTGTAAGTTGTAAGAATGTGTTATTTGTTTTTGGAATAAGTTAAAAACGAAAAAACTGTATGTAGTTATAACTCATTTTCGTTGTTTATTTTATTAGCACAGTCATTCTGTTATTGCCATGTAATCGAAAGCAATTTAGTTTGCTACCAGCAGTTTTTTCGTAAACTCGCTGATAGCGTACAAAGATTTTTTGCACGCTACACTGGTGTCTTGTATTTTCGAATATATCTATTGTACTTAAGACCGTATCCCATAGACATTAGCAATAATTCTATCTTCTTCAATATCAGTGGTGTCACTCAGTGTGTCAGTTCAAAGCTGAGAGAATATATCGACTGCATCACATGCCCGTGCTTATAGCTGGCACATAAATCCATCAAACTTGAACAAAACAATACTGTTGCAGATAAAAATAGGGTATACTGACTTATGTACTATGTATATAGAAGTATTGTGTGTTTACTAATTTCTTTGTCTCAATCGGTCATATTGTAAGGGCATTTGTTGTTTTTGTTTACAAATTTTTAACTGATTCATTGGATTAGTGTTTAAAGTCAAATAGTTCGAGCATGAATTATCGGATTTTGATTTGAGGTTAGTAATGTTCGTAGTTAATTTGATACTGAACTATTAAAAGTGTTAAAAATGGTAATACGAGTTAGAAACATCCTTCTATCAACGATAGACAAACAATTGATACAAATCTGGCGAAAGATTCGCAAAGCCTAATTGTATCTGCGATAGTTGTATTTTTTCTAAAACATATTTATTATTTATGCCCCATAGGTAGGATCCCGTCGCGTGGTGCAATGGGCGGCAGGTCTGATGATAGTACAGGGAGTGGTCGGCAAGCTGGGAGCCGTGTTCATCATCATCCCGCAGCCTATAGTTGGGGGCCTGTTCTGTGTCATGTTCGGGATGATTTCTGCTTTCGGTGAGTTTACCACTAGGATATTATCTTGATGTTTTTTGTAGACATTACCTAATTCAAATGTATGGAAAGATGCTATCAGTTATGACTACAAACGAAAATTAAACTGCTTAATAATGACAATTTGAGACCTTCATGGTTTTCCATCGTGAATAACATTAATAGCTTAGGTCTCAAAAAGCTGATATCCTTTCAAGTTGATTGTTGAAATCCGAGTACCAGGAAAACATAAGCTACAGGATGTTGAAATTTAGAATTCTATTCATAGGTCTATCTGCGCTTCAGTACGTGAATCTAAACAGCTCTCGGAACCTATACATCATCGGGTTCAGTTTGTTCTTCCCACTGGTGCTGACTCGTTGGATGGCGGCGCACAGTGGGGTCATACAGACCGGGGCGGAGGCGCTGGACGCTGCGCTGCAAGTCCTGCTGTCCACCTCTATACTGGTGGGAGGCATTATCGGGTGCTTCTTGGATAATGTTATACCTGGTGAGAGAATCCTACTATTTATGAATGCCTGTTGTTTATGACCGGCTTCTGGTTACCATTAAAGTAGACAAGTCGTCTTTTAAACTGTTCCTATTGCAGAGTACAGGAAATAGTTCCATTTAGGCAAAATGATCAAAAATATGTTAATATTATTAATTGAGATAAAAATAACTATTATTGTCTTAACTTAACCGGGCATTAATGACGTTTGTTTCGAATAAAGTAACTAAAGAGTGTTACACTATGTTTTGATATGCATTATACTGAACCGCTATAAATTACTTAGGTACGGATGAGGAGCGAGGATTAGCCGCTTGGGCTAAAGAGATGAGTCTAGACGCAGCTGGCGCATCCGAAGAGGGAGACACATACGACTTCCCTGTAGGAATGGGACTAATACGAAGGTAAGTTACTGTCGATGTAAGTTAAGAACAATATTAAGCACCTATTTAGGGGAGGCTGGACTCAGATTGAAAAGATTTTCCATTACCTACATTTCTTAATATAATATTGTCCTTTTTAGATGGAAATGGACTCAGTACCTGCCATTTATGCCCACATACCAGGCAGGCAAGTTCACTGCACTGTTCACGAAGAAAGAAAACTGATGACGACCAGGGTTGCATAGGTTTAATGGTGGTCTTGTTACGTGAAAATGAATCGTATGACGTACGATTGGTTTATGTGATATCCTACTTATGTAGGTTATTTTAGGAGAAAAGTGAAGTTTGTCGTTTCATTGAAAAATAACATTTATTTGAAAATCTCTTTGTTATGTATAGGATTCCTTAAAACTAACTTAATCAGGCTCTTCATTCATTATTCATAAGTACTTTCTTACGACCCATACGTATAAGTATCATTATATTAATAAAAAATGTATATAGAATGAATTATAACTGTAAAATATTAATTTCAATTTAAAAATAAAATCCCAAATAAAAAGAATAGTAATGAGTTTTTGATTTATTTAACACATTTTATCGTGTGCTCGTTCTAATAAAAATAGTTTCTTAAGTCAAAGCAAAAAATATAATATGAAAAAAAATTGTGAATGAGTTGAACAGTATTTTTGTGTAAAAGTGACTATAAGTTTATTTACATGACATTCATTTTGATATTCTATTTGTTTGTGTAAGATTTTTATGCAATGAATCATTATCTTTAGGAGCAAAATTACTAGTAAAACGGAAAAAAACAAAAGGTTAGTATGTCTTTGGAAAATTCTTTTGACAGCTAAGGTTTAATTTTGAAAACAGGTCACAAAACAAAGTAACAAATTTTAAACCAAACAACCGAACTAAACAAAAAATCATCAACATAGTTACATCACTACATTAGAGCAGTTCAATAACTCAATAGTTAGGAGAGAAAAACAATTTATTCAGTGTTAAAAAAAATGTTTATCATCATGTGGCTATATATCGTGTAAAAGGATAAAGGAAACTTAACAAGTGTGAAGAGCCATGCTTCGGCACGAATGGGCCGTCTCAACCGGAGTGATACCACGGCCGAGCAGAAAACCGGCGTAAAACCACACTTACGTTGTGGTTCGGCGTGTAAGTGAGGTTACCAGAGGCCTAATTATGTCGCGGAGAACCTAACGGGTAACCGGGGCTCCGGCTCGACGTGCAGGAGAAGGAACGGGGTGGTTTTTAGTCAGTAAGAGTCTGACACTCCCTTCCGCCTCACCCAGGCGAGAGCAGTCATTCGATGATTTTCCCCCCTTAAAAAAAAAGAGGCCTAATTATCCCCCCACCCCTTCCCTTATACTCCTTAAACTCCTAATTCACAAAAGGCCGGTAACGCACTTGTAACACCTCTGGTCTTCCGGTCTTCCGACGCCGATTGTTTATCGTCAGATGATTCGTCTACTCGTTTACTGGCATAAAAAAACAACGTGTAAAATAAATAATGATCCATCAAAAGAGTACATAATAAGCTGTGTACCAATAAACAATCTTTGTAAAGAGTACTCAAGAGTTTCATTTGCTATGAGAAGTTCCGCGGTGCGAAGGATGCTTACCCAACAATTTGTATTATGTTGGTGTGCGTTCTTATTGTTTCATATTGTGTTGTACGTGTTTTTTATTTTTAACACAATCACTGTGTTCTTGTGTGTGTGTGTGTGTTCTCACTTATTGAATAATGTGATATCTATCCGTGAAAACCTATAATTGGATGTTATTTTGCCATGTGAAGCGGTTGATTTACAATACATCATAAATAAAACTATGGTATAGTGTAGTCTATAACTTACAATAGACTGTGACTGGCCGCCTCCGGTCACGTCTTTGATGCTATTTTAATATCCTGCGCTCGGCTCATAGGTACGCTGCAGAAACATGCCTTGTAGGTACTAGGGATCCATAGAGTACTAGCAAGTATACTTTTTACTACAAAATGTTTTGACTTCTTGATATTGGCTTAGTTTATGTTTAGATATTAGTTTATGTAATCATAAAAGGCAGGCAACGTACCTTCGACTCCTCTGGTGTTGCGGGTGTCCACGGGCGGCGTTGATTGCTTACCATCAGGTGATCCGTCTGCTCGTTTACTTCCTATTCCATAAAAAAGTAAGTAGGTACATACTTTTTTCATTAATGCAATTTGCAAAGTAGTAATTGTATCTGCAATTATGTTTTTCCCCAATCAATGCACCTTTGCCGACTAAAGTAATTGCTTTAAATTGTATGTAAATGGTTATGTCTGGCGAGGTCAATTTGGAGGTCGATGATCGAGAACCCGTGAATAATAAAGTATGATACAACCCTTTCACTGAAACAACCACGAGCAGAAAATAAAAATAAATTCACGTTTACATCGTAATATAATGTTTTAGATATAAACACATTCTTCTCCCATTATTCCCTTGAGAACATGTAATCATGGCCCATAACAACATTTATATAGAAAATTTACTTTACTAAGAAATAGGATAAAATATAAGGTCGGGTCTGACGAGAGGCTTCAGACCTCTGGCTTAGCAGTGGGTGTTAGGAAAAGTGGATTCATACCTTAATACTACGAGTTTTCATAAGGTCCGTGATAACTCTACGCATATGATGGGCGTACACAAGATTATCGAAGTAAGCTTGTTCGTAAAATACAGACAAAAAGAAAATATAGGTACGCCTGTAATCTCCTGTCGCCCTAGTACTTTCCAAGCACGTTGCGTCCAATATCCAGTATTTTATTAAAATAATCCCAGGTGTCTTGTTGTGTTCGTGTATTATTACTATTATCTAGGTCAAGTTGCGCATGTAAGACCTAGATTTTAGAAGATTATATTTATGCTAGAATTTAGCACAAAACTGCGTAATATGAGAACGAAAATATAAATGAAGGGTAAAAATGTTCTGAATGGTAATAATAAAATACCTATATAAATATTAATCATGATTATGATTAGATAGATTTCGTATTTCATAAAGTCGAACAATATCTAAAAATTTGACTAAAATCCGAAACTGATCGAAAACATCGAGGTACTTATTATTTTTTGACATCACACATAATCCATTTTTTATCTTCCAACCAATAAATCTTCGAAAATGGAGTGGTCAGTACATTGCGTGCGTGAGTAAAGAAAAACTTTATTACATTGCTGTATTGATTCACATTCATCAATACGTGTCGCAGTGTAATGGATCGTGTAATGAAAAAAAAAGAACTTTCCAGAAGTTTTGGAACATTTTTGAGACTGACCTTTTGCGAAGAACCGAATAAAATGCTTGATTTAGTTTAAGAATCTAAGGCCATCTTAAGAATGCCAGATCCTTACTTTTCTTCGATATTAATCGTGAAATATGTCTGGCTTCATCAGTCTTTTAAAATCATATGGATGACTATTTATTTTCTAACTAATTTCAGTATAGTTAATTTTCACTAAATTGCACCAAACTTCGAACGGAAGTTCCATATTTAGCCCGAAATTAAATAGGAACGGCTATTAAAACTAAATACAAATTTTATGTGACAATACTCTTGATTGATGGACATTTTCAGTTTTATGAAAACCAAATGTCATGGACGTGGTCCAAGCTCCACCAGATGAGTCATATTAAAGGTAATGTATGAGACCTATGTGATCTCATATCTTCACATAAATTATATCATTGTTTAATGTATCTACCACATTTGAGACATGGATAATTCCCATTGCAAAACATGACTAAAGTTTTACATTTACAGACTCACTTATAAATATTTGTACACAATCGTATAACAGATTAATTACTAATATACAAACCTTTGAATAAAATAGAAATTAGAGTAAAACAATTTTATTACTGTAAAAATATAGGTACAGGTCAGCTTAAACAATATTAAGTGTTTGAATTAACAGGACATTCCTTGTTTCAGGTGATTCAAACCATTACTGGTGACAAACATAAAGACCAAATATATAAAACCCACAAAATTATTAAGACCCTCCCCTAAGTCGTATTTCCTTTAAACGGATATCATTCCAATATTTTATTTACACACGTCACCGTTCCTTAGATAACGCAGACGAAGTTTTCCTATATCGATGTGCGAGTGAGAGATCCGTGGAACGCAAGGCAGGTGAAGGAATGAAAAGGTCAAGCTTGCGTACTCGGAATTCTTACCCGGGTGACGTCAGGATACCCGGCTCGGCACCTGAGACCCGCTAGTTTATTAACCACCCGGGAATGTTAGAATCTTCGCTTTAATAATAAAATAAGCTTTTGAGGTGGACGGAAAAGTTTAGGAGGAGTGATTATTAGAAAATTAATATTGGCAGGAGGCAGGGGACAGTGGTGATTATGATAAAAGATGAAGTCGATTAAAATATTCAGTAATAAGTTAAATTAAGGGGTTTTTTTTACATTTGATGGGCCGACGCTTGACCACTAACTCGCCTGGTGGTAAGCGATGCGATGATGCTGTCTACGATGGAGCTCGTCGTCCCATAAGCAACCTATTCACTCGGGCCTTAAAGACACCTAGGTCATACCCTTCAGGAAATACAGAATTCCGCTCCTTAGCAGTACGCACAAGGAAGCTATGAAGTTTCGCATCAGCTAAGCGCTTCGTGCGTGTGGGTGGGACATCTACCATGATTTGTTAACGCTTCGCCGATTGTCTTGTTGTACGATAATGGTAAGGACTAGGGGGAATCAAGATGTGCAATTCCCCCGCACACTCACCGAAATGTAGCCGGTAGAAAACCGAAAGGCTTGCAACCTTACGCGTGTTCAGGGCTTTGAAGCCGGGTTTCCACAAGCGCATCATCGTTGATGAGCCTCTTGGCACGCCGATGTCAGGGATCACTAAAAAACATGTCTGATTGTGATCAATATAATATTATCGAAACAGACTTGCCCCCGTCACAAGGTTGTCATAAATTATATCGAAAAGACATAATAAATAATGATAGCCCAAGTCTATCTACCCTAAAAGGAAATAAAAGGCGTAACATTATCATGACAATCATTTGGCACACATTTTCCTAAAATGTCAGATTTTCTTACAAATTAAAGATTATGAGTCAGCCAATCGTTTTTACTTAGTTTCGGGAACAATTCTCGCTGTGTTTATAGCTCAGCCTACGCGCTGGTGACGAATCTGTGACTTCATCCCTAAAGTCCATTCAAACGTCACAATTTTATGAGGCTCTTGACGTTGTCAATGTAAACAATCTGATGTTTCATTGTTTCTGTTTTTATGAGGAGTCATTGCTGTAGTATTGTAAAAGAAAATACATGTAGGGAAACCACGGAGTAGAATAAAGTCACCCTCCCTTTTTTTCACGACGGTATCGCAAAAGCTAGGGAACACACAGATTCTGCAACTGAAAATATGTTAATACTTCTTTTATCCGATGCACTTATACAGATTACAGTGGATACCAACAGACGAATAACATTCTTAATGCGTTTAAAGGAATATCACAAATTATTCTACACTTTGTATCTATGCTAAAAGGGTTTAGTAGTTACACATATAGAGTGGTGCTTACCAGGCAAATCCATCCGATGTTCGTGTTGACACGTAACATTGTTCCCGGCCGGTCCCAACGACCAACGTTTGCGGAAGGGTTAATAATGCTGGATTAATGTTGTTATTTGCACAGTCAATACGCGCTCCAAGGGTTGGGAATGACCCACTTACATTGGATTAATTCTTTCAATTTTTACATTAATTGCAGTGGATCATAGTCTCCTGGTAATTAGTAAGGATTCCTTTTATTTGTCAGTTTAATGTCGAGTGTTGCTTGTAAATCAGGCTAAATTTATAATTTATTTAAGTCAAGACCAAAGACGATACTTGTTACATGTAAGAAAGAACCTTATCGTATCATATATTGTTCACATATTGATAAATTGATAATTTCTATTTCGGGTAGATGGACACAATTGTATAGAAAACAAAATAATCCGTCATTGACGGTTTGCTATGATCATCATATTGGTTAGTATAATACCGTGGACGCTTCGCATCCGTGATTATCATGGATTTGGTATATTCTACTAGAGTTGAAACATATTGTTATTAAACGAAAAATAAAGGTAGCTCTGTTTTCAATTATGTTCTTAAGTGGTTCAGCCATTAGTTATCATGTTTCTTAGTTAATTTATTAGTATGTTAACGATCGTCAAAAATATGTTAGGTAATACATATAGACAAAATATCTTTTGATGTAGAATTATTTACTTGTTGTTGTGTATGTGATTTAAACATAAAAACATGAAAAAAATGGTCACAAAGGTCAAGTTGCAGCCGTGTTATATCGTGGCGGGTCACTCGCACCCAATAAAAACCTGTGTTATCGTTTTGGTTCGTAAATAAACCACATTTTATTGTGCGGAGGTGAGCACAGGATAAACGAAGCTCGTTGATAAGGGAAAACGGAAACACGTTGCTAGGTAACCATCCCAAATTGTACGAGATAAACTCCGTTTCAATTTTATGGGCCAAACGGAACAACAATGGGAACTTTCTGGAAATTTCGACACATGATGAAGATTATACGAAGTGTGTAGTAAATACCGATACACATATGTTAGCCGTGGAATAGTTTGTGTGCCATTTTGTTTGTAACATTTAGTAGCTAAAGTCACAAGTGCGTATATTTGCGTGGATGGCAACATAAACACTTTAACAGCTCACTTGTTCCCAGTAATTACTGAGCTCGTGTGAACCCACCGCTGGGAATGTTCTCCTTTATGTAGATATGGGAGTAATACAGCCAGAAACATAATATTTTTGCTTTGAAACTGGATATTTTAATGAACTGAAACGAGTAAATGAGGAAGTTGATCTTACTGGTTGGTATGTTTTACGTATTTGAGTAAACAGATAGTAGATAAAGATACATTTCGAGCTTTCGAAAATCTAAGTTCCTATCAATATTGACGAGTAAGAATTTTTTAATTTACAGGGGAAACTTAACAAATGTGATTAATGTCTTAAAAGGACCATTAGTGAGTGAGTGCAGAGGTTGCAGTTGAGGACCAATACGGATTTAGGTCCATTAGTGTTGAGCTGCACACGAGTGGAGGAGTGT